CGAGCACATTGTGCAGATCAAGGATCCCAGTACCACCTTCGAAGTCCCCTACAATACAAAATACAAACGTCTCAAAAGGAGCAAGAAGCAGAGAGCCCGAGCGAGTACCAAAGCTGCAGCTGAGCAAGTGGACGAGGAGAACGACGCCCTAGTCTATTGTCTAGGCGATGTACTGCAAAGTGAGGAGGAAATTGCAAAATGGCGAATCCAAGAGTGGACTCAGGAGGAGGAAGACAAAATGAACATGGAGTCCTACGAATGGATCCGACTGGACGCAGACTTCGAATGGATCTGCACAGTGAACCTCGCCATGCCCGGATACATGTACGTGTCCCAGCTACAGCAAGATCGAGATGTTGTCGCGCATCTCGAGTCGATCCGCACCATCTCGAGATTTCCACCTCATGCGACCATGTCCTCCGTTATTGTCCGGACGTTAATGGATCGCCGGTATTTCCATGGTGTTCGAGCACTCGCAGCCAAAGCCTTGGTGAGGCATGCGGCGGAAGAGGTCAGCAACATCGGCTTCCACCATCTCAAGAAAGCCTTTGAAGAGCTGTTCTGCGTTACAGATCGCGGTTCGACCATGACTCGACCCAACGATTTCTCAGACCAACTGTTATATATGGTGCAGTGCGAGATCGTGGAAGCGATCGCCAAAGTCCGCGACGGCCGAGGGCACACCCCTAAAGAGGTCAGAGACTTCTTGCTCGATAAACTGAAATTCAACGACAACTCGGCGAACGATTACTCTGATGCGCATTACGTCGCTCGATTGATGAAAGCATTGACCGACGCGGCTATCGCACGACCACATTACACTGAGCGAGATGTGATCGGAGACTTCGACCTCGAGGATGAAGTGCACGAGCTGAAGCAGTTTGAACGCCAGTTTTTGGAGGAGATCGACCGTTACCGTAGAATGGACGAGTGGACATCTTCCTACCAAAATCTGTACTCTCGCACTGCTTTGGAGTGTCAGGCTATGCTTGCGGCTGCAGGGATCGGGACATTCTCACCGCTGCACTTCCTACAGTATACCAGGCCAGGCAATTACGACATGCTGCGCCAAACGGCGTATGCAACTCTTCTTACACCCAAAATCTTTGACGATCCGGCAGTTTTGCGATATGCGCTGTACTGCATGGTGGCTGACCCGTCTCCGTATATCCGCCAAAGCCTACAACAGGCCTTTGGCGTCGTGCTTGGTCGACGGGCTATCGGCGACAAGAGCACTGCTACTCAACCTGCCGCCGCTGAAGGTCTCGTCATCGAAGGAGCATCGATTGAGGAAGACGATGCATCGAAACGACAGGAGGAACTGGCTAGGCGACAAAACCTGGAAGCCGCGTTGAAAGCGTTGAAAGGAGAGCTCGGCGCCCACAAAGCTCTTCAAACAGCCCTTTGGAATGCGATCTGCTACGATCAGATCATATTGGAGGATTTACAAATCTTGCTAGACTTCTGCCGCTTGCTCTACGATCCCGTCAACGAAATGAAGGTCACACTAAGGCTGCCCCGCTACTGGAAGGTGCAGAGCTTAGGGAAGGTAAGTTCTGACTTACATACAATTTCTCTTCGTGCGGATATTAGGCTAACGCGACCCTTCTCTGCAGGGCAAGCTCAAATTCTCGGAAACGCGCAAGGTCCGCGTGAAACCCGTGCCAAAATGGCACCCACCGACACCTGCCGTGACTATGCCGCAACCACCAGCACAAGCACGGCCTGCCATTCCGAACTTGAAGCTGAAGCTGAACCTCAACAAGAACAACAGTGTCCTGAATCGTCAGCCGAGCATCTCACTAAGTAATCCGAGTCCCCCACCGCCTCCACCAAATGCCCGACCAGCGCCCGCGAGACAGTCGAGTTTTTCGTCCCAGCCGGGCCAACAGGTGCAGACGCCGGTGGTGGAGCTTCAGCGAAGGATTACGTTGAAGATCCCGACTTTGAAGCTGAATAAGGGTCCGTCGCAGGGAGGTCCTTCAGCTTGAGCTTGACTTCATGTCTCTGACAAGGCACAATATCTTTCTGGTTCATGGGGGAAGATAGCGCACGTCTCTCTCGGTCGGTGAGTCGGTCGACCGGGTGCCTGTGAACGTGGGAAGGCGTCCTCGTAGGCTGAGGCGATGCACGCAGCATGCGCACGATACCCCTAAGATAACACGCTCCCTCCGCACGTAATCTTGTACCACTAGCTACCGTCCTCCATGCCACGATCGGCGCAAAAGTCGCTCGCGGGAAAAGAAGATTCTGACACGCAGGTTGCCCGGCCACCCGTCCTCATCGTTCAGGACGATCGCCCTCGTCGTAAGGTCGTTCATCGCCCCTCGTCCGCCCACTGGCCATCTATCGTCGATCATCGCCCATCCTCTCCAACGCCTCAAGCATGACCACGGAATTGCCGCGAATCACAACCATGCCCAGCCTCTCTCGATCACCGCCTGGCTTCTCTTCCACGGCCTCGTCGAGCACAATGTTCAAGAAGACCTAAATAAAACGCAGATATCATGTCAGCCGAATTGTCCCTAGGATTTTTTCTTGCCTCTTTTCTTTTATCTTCCGCAGCAAATATGGACACAGTTGTTGGCAACGAGAGAACGAAGGGGGAAGATTCAAGCCGCTCTCTCCCTCTCCATCTCATGAGGAGACGTACATCATAGCCGCGCAGGATGCCGATGACTTTTCTGTTGCCGTTCAGTTGCACGAAGAGGCGTTTCTCCATGTACTAGAATTGGAATAGGGGTGTTAGTCTGAGGTCATGAACTGTGTGCCGGTTGGGATTTATGGCGTGGCATGGGGACTATCTCTTACCTTTTTGAGTTCGGGTTGCGCTTGGGGCATGGTTGCGAGGCGGAGGGTTCGAGGTTGTGTAGTCGACTGTTTGGGCTTCTACCTGGAAGGGAACGGATATGTGCGCCGCGAAAGGTTTGTCGGTATTGTATGGTGAAGAGAGGGTCGTCGTCGTTGTTGTTGCTGTTGTTTCGTTTCGTTTCGCATTCGCACCAGGCGCAGTTCGTGCTTCAGTGATTGGAGAAATTCAAAGTCCAACAAACTCGCAAGGTACGGTTCGGATCGGAAGATTATTGTGCCGGAATCCACCTTATTGCGATATGTACCACCGTAGTGGGCATCATATAACGAACGGAGTACGGAGCACTACAAGGTACTCTGATCCATACACACTTACATACCTAGGTACTGTGCACCTGAAATAAATTCACAGCCATGTCGATGCTTACCTTATGTAGCACTATCATTATAACTGGACTGCGGCCTCGCACTTCTGACAGTCATGGCGAAAGAGCGACTACCATGACTTGGCCTTGATGGGCACGAAACAGATGCCACCTGAGGTGATGGGTATATCTCTCAGCTCCAGCTCGACATTGATGAGATCGTCGGAACGGTGCTTGGAGCAGTGCGTGATGGAGAGATTCAGCTGGTTGTTCCAGATCAGGAGACAATCATTTCCTTGACGGCGTATTGTCCTGTCATTCACACCCTGACAAACACACTATCGATATATCTGTTGTTACCACCAACGCACGATGGGGTTGAAAGCTACGTAGGGAGCAATGCGGTAAGTCCTGCAGTGGAATTGAAATCATTGACTTCGGTTGCACACGAATGGCTCAACCCCTCCGGAAGAGAAGAGACAGAAAAATCATTTCACAGTCGAGGCGGAGCATTGCTTGGAAGATGGTAACTCTCCAGCCACTCTCCAGTCAACGATAGCATGGATGCTGCTGAACGGAATGAGCCAAGATGTGCGCCTACCTAGGTCGTCTACGGTGGCACTGAGGAACTTCCTGCCTGCCCAGTAGGCACCCAGTAATGCTCGCGGGTCGGGTACTGCAACCCCCCCGGCTTGACGGCCCTGAGCCCCAGACTCTTTGTGCGTGCCATGAGTATTTCGTACCATCCAGCCAGCGTACAGTACACAATCCTTAGTAAGCATACGCGGCTTGGCGCATTAACCGCATTTGCCCGTGTGAGGCTCCCTTCCTCAGCTCTGCAGACTTTGTCCTCCTCAATCACTGCTCAAACAATCGTATCAATATGTTCACTCAGCACATCCATGCATTTACAGCCTGAGGTTGCTGTACCTCAAGGTGATCTTACTTGAGGGACTTAATTGGCAAAGCCCTTGGCTTCGGTAAGATGGAAGACCAGGAGTTGAATACGAATTACGTGCTTCCGACAAGGTTTTCCACTTGAACCTCCGGGTGTCTTCGAGGCTCGGGAATGGCCAGAAACCCTCGCTTAACGTCACGCCAGAGCTTACCAGCAGGATCACGGGTACTCGCACCTCGTACTTTTGTCTTCGTCAGAATGATGCATTGGCATGTTGACGCAGGCCTTAGTAATCCCCGGATTCAACAACCCAAACTGGCCGGGATAGGTCCCGAAGTCGAACCTTTCGCTTAGCCCGAACAGCGGAGCACAGGGCTGAATCTACTGTTAGACATGCCGCCATCATCTGCCGCCACGGGCAGGTCGCGGCTATGCCCTGCTGGGCAGGCGCTATAAGGCTACACCATGTTCATTGCCACCCTGCTTGATTGGCTCAGGAGGTAGCTGCACTACTTGGCTGCTGGCTCGACCTTCTTTGGGCCAGCCGGTCACCATACCAAGTGCTAGAACCCTAAATATGGACGCTTATTGACGCTGCGAGAGATATCTATGTCAGCGAGGCAGAGCATCTCAGACCCCGAGTTGCATTGATAATGCAGGGTAGGAGCGACTTTGCCAAGTCTCTCGCCCAGAGGCATACTCGCATTCCGATACTCAGTTCGGAGCGGTGAGCATGTATTGTGGGCGGATTGGCCATGGCTGCCGAGCTCTGAAGCACTTTGTGCCCAGGCAACGGGTCAGGAGAGCAGTGTCCTTTGTCAAGATACACGCCGACCAACGACACATAAGATCTCGATCGAGCCGGACCTGAAACCAGCGACACTGATCAAAGCTTTGGACATCTTCGTGCCTCATCCCAGGTCACAATGCCAGCAGCAACTTATCGGGGTCCTTTCCACTTTGTTAACAAGAACGGCTCCAATTTGACCCGTCGGGACTCAGAAGAAGCCTTTCGAATCAGTTCTCATGTCACCAACAAATACTATCAGTGGGCTAAGCGGACCAGGACCAATCAGCAGGTTCGCAGCGCCCAACGTCAGCCTCGCACTCATCATGTCCGGAAAAGACTTTGCGCTTCAGAGGGAAACCCGTCAGAGTCGTCCAGCCCCCTTTCGGTCTTTAGCATTGAAAGCCACGAGGAGCCTTCAACCGACGAGAGCCAGAGTAAAACGATGTGTTGGCAGCTGGGATCAGGTACTAGCACTATTGCCCGCAGGTCTGCCAGTCCGCTCGGGTCGCCAGAGCCTCCCTCCCAACTCTTTGCAGTGGGAGAGATCGATGAACAATATGTCAGGCCCGAACTCTGGCCGGATTATTTGCCCAGGACATCGACGCCGACCTTACCGCAGCAATTTGACTTCAGTGCCCCTGACTGGGCTGCTTGTCCTCATTTTCAAAAAGAGGCCTTGCAGTTCTATCGCTCGTACTTTCTTTCCTACAGCTATGCCGGGGTGCGACAGTCCAGCCTTCGCCAGTTGATCGACACCGCCTGGCACAAGCGAGCAACCGACCTCGTCACGGACAAGAAATCTCTACATGGCTGGTTCGCGAGCGTTCTGACTATGAAAGCCGTCTATCTGCAACCGGAGGCATTCTCAATTCTCTATCCTATGGCCCTCAGGCATCAGAATACGAGTCTGAGGTTGCTCAGAAAGCACATCCGTGAAGAGCAAGGCCCGTCGGAGAGTCTCCTCCTATGCATATGGTGTATTTCCACGACCGCGTTCTTCTACGGAGATACCCAACCGAACCTCGCACATGCGCCAGCCCTGTGGGACGCCGTGGACAGGCTTGGGGGGGTAGATGCACTCGATCTAGACATACGGGCGCTGGTCGTTTTGATGGACAATGGCCATTCCAGGTTCACACTGACTCGACCACATTTACACTACTCACGATTCGATCCTGGGGCCTTTGAAGACCAGCCCGAGCTGGCACAGTACGGCTATCTGCTGTCAGGCATGCAATCTCTATACCGGAAATGGGACGAAGCATATCTCCTCCCTGATGACGCCCTGTCCGAAGATCTGCACAGTTATATCATGGCGCATCGAGAGTTCATGGCAGCCCACGCTCTGGCGAGCAGACTGTCTTTTCAGAAGAAACAGGACGCTGCCGACGCCGTTTTCTACTGGCTCCACCGTCGACGCGCCACGCTGAGTTCTTGGACCATGTCTCTCTACTGCGATATCGTCGAGACAATTTCTCCGCAAACACGGCTGTCTCGGTGCATCCGACGACAACTCCAGGCATGCGTCTGTCTAGCCGTGTCCTACGCCATGTCGTTCGTCTATGGATTCACTCTGCCCCTCAAGCTATGGCTTCTTTACATCCCGATCCAAAACCTGCGTCCTCAACTTGAGATCCTGCTCCGAGATATGGGGAAGCGAGGCACCGTGCCTTCCATAGCCTCGTCCACTCCGATCACGTCCAATGCCTCGGCTCTTCCACCCCTCGCCATAAGCCACCACGAAACCCTCCTCTTCCTTTTCTTTGTCGGCGCGTGTGCTGAAGAAGTCTCTGACGAAGCCGGCAAGAGACCAGAACTACTTGTCGATAGGCGCTGGCATTCGACGCGATTCTGTGAGATGACGAAGATCCTGGGCCTGAGGACGTGGAAAGAGACCAGAAGGGTGCTGCAACGGTTCCTGTATGGTGATGGAGTGGTGCTGGATCGTTTTGTCGAAGGCTTATTTGAACTCAGGAATAGCTTGGCTGATACGGTTGTTGTGCTCGGAGCGGAGTAGGTTTGGGAGATGAAGCCTAGTGATATTTGCTTCGAAGCGCCGAGTTTATTAGCAATCCACGTCAAGCTACGCAAAGATAACACAGGATTTCCGATTCGATATTGATGATGTTACCCTCGTTCGTCCATCTGCACATGGTCTTTTCCAGAATACGGCTTATTACTACATTTGCACGACGAGCGACCTCTCTAGCTGTAGCGAGCCTCGTTCCTTCTTTTATTTGTTGTTTCCATGTCGCTGGTAGGAGAGGAAAGAGCCACGGCCTTGTTGTGCGTCGGGGTGTATTGAGTGGTGAGTGGCGCTGCGGAGGAGGATGGCTTTGAGGGAGACGTGGACGGAGCAATTGACTGGCTGGCCGGTTGACTGATTTCAATGCTTCTGGCCAACGATGCGATGGCATGGCAGCTTACAGTACAGGGAGGTAGGTTAACGTGTCGAGTAAGTATCGCGGACGACTCGACGGATTGGGGGACCATGTTAGCATAAGGTGAATCGAGTACTATCACCACGTACGGGACTGCTTTAGATCTGCTGTGAACGGTCCTTCGGTATTACTTTGCTAACCTCCTGCCTCGCCTTCACCACTCCAAGCCTCTGGCGTGTGTCTTCTCGCAGCTGACGGCCCCCCCTCCTACTGACCCTAGTATCCTTTCGCAGAGACTTGTGGCCGCATGCCCGGGTTTCACCCCGTCGCTCTGCCTTCGTGGACCTGGCCTGGCCGCCCAGATTTCCTGACCAGCCTCCTCCTCCATCTCGACCTGCTCTCCGAGAACCTTGACAATCATCTCCTGAAACGCCATCACGCCCTCCTCGTGGAACGGATGCAGTGCGCCTCCGTCAAACACCCCACGCTCGAGATTCCTCTGGACCGCCTCACAGAGGGCAAAGTCTTCGTCCACGACGTTCTGGTAAAAGGCGGTCATTCTTGCATGGGCCTCGGGCGTCGCGTGGGGCGTGTTGAGACGGTAGACGTCGTATTCCTGCCTCGTTGTCGTCGCCGAGGTGGGGACGCTGCGCATCAGGTGCATGAAGCCCGTGCCGGGGTTGGGGCTGAAATGGCCGACGGGGAAGACATGCGTGGCGGAACGGCCGGCGAAGCGGGTGGCGTCGAATTGGCTGGTCGAGAACACGGCGGCTTTCGGTTCGCTGAAGTGCGAGATGTAGTTGCTGGGGGTGGCGGGGACGACGTAGTATGTGTCCAGGGCTGTTGTTTTGGCGACCGACAGGTGCGCTGTGAGGCAGTGGTAGCACTGGAGATGGGTGGGAAGGGTGAGTTAGCTTTTTATTCACACAGACAAAACAGTCTGGACTGCAAAGACCGTCTGTGCCACAAGCACGCACCTCGTTGTAGTTGTCTTGCATGAGTTTCCAGTTGAATTTCCCTTCTTTGGTCCAGGTGAAGTCGTACTCCACGGCGTCCCAGTCGATGCCGGAGTGCGTGAGCACGTCTTGCTCATCAAGGCCCCCGTACTGTGCTTTCCATGTGATCTCAGGTTCGGGTCGGGCGTCCAGATTGGCGTATACAAAGCCGTTTCTGTCCACGTGGACGTGGATGGGAAAGAGCTGGATGTTCGCAGAATCGAAATCGGAGACGGACTCTGGAGTGAAGCGAGGGGCTTTGGTCAGCTTTCCGTTGAGGTCGTAGGACCAGCCGTGGTATTTGCAGGAGAAGATCTTTGCTGTGCCACTCGTTTCTTGCACGATCGGAAAGGCACGGTGTCTGGGTACGGCGGATGGTCAAAAGATGGTTATGGTTCTCCCCTGGTTGCGTTCGACACTCGAGTACTGGGAGAACCATGACACCTACCTGCAGATGTTGTGGAATCCGACTATCTCTCCTGTCTTGTTCCTGACGACCACAAAGTTGAAACCGGCCATCTCATACTGCACGTAGTCGCCGACGTTGCGATAGCGAGCCTCGTGCGACACCAGGAACCATCGTTTCGAGAAGATGGCCCGCCGCTCCAGCTGATGGATCGCCGGCGAGTGGTAGAATCCATCTGGCAGCGAGGACCCGGCGTTCTTTGAGAGCGTCTTCTTCGACAGTCCTTCGAGATGCAATCTATGGACGACATCTGCCGGGCTTGGACCAGCCAGAGTCGGAGCTGGCATTCTGAGGGCTTTTCTCAATCTCCCCCAGCTTCGCCTGGTTTACACGGATCCCCATGATAATACCCTCCAGCTCGGCTCACGCGCATAAATGTGGTGACCGCGGACACAAGAGCTTTGCCTACACAGTACTCCGTACAGCTTGAAGTCTTCTCCATCCAGCTTCCTGTTCGGGATCAGGTATCCGACGAACTGTATCCCACGGAACAAGGGGGACCTCGGAGCTGTCCACTGTCACACCCAGTCACCACTGATGCCCTGGCTTGCACCCTCGCTGACTCGGCCGCAAGGCAGATATGGATGTGCTGCTGCAACAGGCGTCCAGATGTAGATGGTCGCAGGAGGAATGAAACGTATCTAGCCGAACCCCCCCTCCCTCGACACCCTCGACCCCCCCTCGCGGTGGCTTCCGCATCGCCAAGGCTTCGATGGCGCTGAGCTTGCCACAACTTCGACGCCTCTGCGCTGCTTGGGCTCGCGACGAGCTGAACGTCAAGTGGTGATGTTCCCCGTCCATGCTACTGTCCGGTATTTCTCCCAGCTGGCACCCGCTGTTTACCTGCGACTGTTGCGCCGGCAAGATGAGTCTTCGGATGTCATCCTTAGACCCGAATGAGCCCAGAGCAGCAAAAGGTAATGCCGGCCAGTCCCGTCGAGGTGAGGAGGCCACTGAAGACAGACAGATTGCCGAACCTGCAACCGGAGACGCATCCGCTGCGACAGGTCGCTGCCGACTTGTAAGAAATGTGCTCTGAAAGGACTTACATGCCCCGGCTACGGGCTGAGGATCCAGTTCGGACAAGGCGTCGCGAGCAGAGGGAAACTTACGGGCAAGGCGCTGCCTATCATTGAACCTGCCCCTCGCGTTAGTGAAAATTCCCAGGAGAACTTCAGTCCCAAGAGCACTACTCCGGGGGGAATCTCAGATGCAAGCGAGGACGGCTTCGGGTCTTCAACGACAATGTTGCCTAGCACTCGACCGACCGCCACACCACAGACGCCCCGTCACGCATTCCTGTCCGGATATGACGAGGGCACCTTTCATAATCAGTTTGCGCTAGACCTCGACGTGACATCGCAGGTGCTGCCTGACTACTTGCAAGGCAGGCCCGTCAGAGAGCTTTTGCACTACTTCGACCATCATGTCGCGACTGTCATGCCGTGGGTGGACGGGCCTGAAAACCCGTGGCGCAAGCTCCTGCTCCCTCTTGCGTTCAAATCGGAGTCGCTGCTCCTCGCCCTCCTGGCACTGTCGGCAGAGCATTACGCCTCCAGACGCGGTTCGAGCTTGCCTTTGAACGACGGATTCCTGTCTAGCAACTACCGGGATAAGAGCTTACAGCTTCTGGCGCGGGATCTGCGCGCAGAGGTCATTGAAGATGCAAATCCGCCACGGCAAACTCAGGCAAGCACCATCCTGGCCACCATCCTGGTCCTGTGCAACCTCGAGATGATCAGGTGCGACACAACTACATGGCACGTTCATTGGAAAGCTGCCAGAACCATCACCAAGCGGTGGACTGCCCCGGACCTCGCATCGACCATTCTGGATGAAACATGCCGGTTTCTCCTCAAGGAAGCTTTCGTATACGATGTCTTTGGCTCATCCACGACATTTGGCGACGATGATCAGATTCCGAGCTCGGTCTTGACGGAGCAGGAGGCCAGTGTCTTCACAGATTGGCTGCAGTTGATTCAAGACGTGACCCGCACTGAAAGACGCCGCAACGACAATCGGTTCTCAGTAAAGGAAGGATCAGCTGCCCTGGCAAATATGCATGTTCTGCAAGAGAAGTTCGAGTACGCCCGGGACCGTTCTCGGACATTCAGCATGTGCTTCGACTTCGGCACACCAGGTCCCCACCACGACTTTAATGTTCTCATTGATATCTTCCACTATGCTGGGCTTGCATACAGTTTCCAAGCTCTTCTGAACCCACTCGACCATGCCGTTCAGGTGTCGCTCCAGGACCACGTCACCGCTGTCACCACTGCGATCGGCCAGATTCGGAACAAGGAGGCCTATCAGCATGACCTCGTGTGGCCGCTGTTTGTCGTGGGCACACAAAGCAGGCATAACAAGGATACTCAGGTGTTCGCCGAGACCAGATTGTTGGAAGTTATGAACTCAACGGGCTTCTCGAACTGTTACCCAGCACTGGAGTTTCTGCGGCGTTTCTGGGCGACCGATCCCCTCGTCGTCACAGATTGGATGCAGTTTGCTCGGCAGGAGTCTGAACAAGGTAAGCATTTTCTGGTGATATAGGTGTCCTGCGCCGGAATTTGTACGAGTCGTGGAGCTGTCACCGGTACACAACGCGGTGGGCGGGCACGGACAAGCAACTACATGTCGACGGTCTCCTCGTCTTCGACACCAAACAGGACACGCATGGGATCCTGATATTCCATAAAGCCGAGAGAGGGACGGCAGATTCCATAGCCCAAGAGCCTTTGTGCTTGTGGTGGCAGTCGCTTAGCCTTCTCGGGAGGCACCATGAGGAATTGGTTCTCAGCAGGACGATAGGTCGGCTTGCATAAGAAGATCCCAACAGTCTCGCGAGCTTGATCCCTGTGATGCAGTCAGCAGGTACCACAACGTCGCGGTTCGTCTGTTCCCTACTTGGTGATATTGGCACCTCCAGCGTGATATAGGTTGCCGACAAAGATGAAGGCATCACCAGGTTCCAGTTCCGCTGGAATTGCTTCGTGATCGTACGGGCAACGATCCGGACCCCAAAGATGCGAGCCAGGAATCGCAATTGTGGCACCATTCTCGGCTGTTGTTTTGGTCAAGGCAGTCACACACCCGAGCATCATGGGCATGTCGCAATTGCGCGTGTGATAGTCGCTACATCATAAATCAGCTTCTTCCTGGTGGAAATACCACGCACCAGCACCGCCTACCTGTCATCCCTGTGCAGTCCCTGTTGCCTGCCGCCAGGATTCACACGGAAGCCGACAGTCGAGGAGATGATGGGCTTCGCCGTGACGGTTTCCTGCCTCTGACCGGTCCAGTACGTAAAGGTGGAAGAAATCAACTTGTTTGCCACATTGATGTACGTGGGATTCATGGCCAGCTCCACGCACCCATCCGACCGGGCGAGCAGACCCGTCGCTCTCTGAGTTGTATGCGGGAAGAAACCGGAAGGGTCGACCATGTCTGTGTCGAAATAAGGCTTCAGCTCTGACTTGATACGGCCGGCTAGTTCTTGGGAAATGATGTTCTCCACGATAACACCACCATCGCGCTCAATGATCTCGACCAGAAGGTCCGTCGTCGTAGCCGGATCGTTCGCATCATATCGTGCCAGGGTCGGTTTTTGGACGGCACCATTGGTGAGGCCCGCTCCTTTCTTGGACACGACCGGAGCTTCGACGATGTCCTCGACCGCGACTGGAGCCATCCTGTTTACTCGAAGACCGCTCAGATACGTAATGCACCTGGGAGAAACACAGGTATGATAAGGCCACAGACGGCTTGGAAGTTTCCGGGAATCGCCCAACGACTGTGGGCGTGCTAAGCGAAAGACTGATAGCATGAGAAAAGGGAGCTGGAATCTAGCGTCTCACGATTTTCTTATATAATCTGGCCTGATATATCGTGACGTTGTAGGAAGCGTCAAGTTCTCACCTCTCCTGCCCAGCCCGGAAAGGTGAGCCTCCTAGCCTCAGAGCGAGACAGTGAGTTCGCGACGTTTCTCGTGTTCTTACCGTCTCCCCACATACATCTCAAGAAAGAAGGTGAGTTGAGAACACTGTGTGTTCTCGGAGGTCTGGTAAGCAATAGTGTTTGAGGAGCTGTGGCCAGTACAGTATTGCGGAAAGTGCTTCCCCGAAGGGCTGGTGGATGGAGATGATGTTGAAGCTCGAGATGACCACTATGTCCAGATCCATGGTCAGTCTGTCTGGAGATCTTGTGGGTAGAGAAACTCACGGTTGGCTGGCAGCAACACCATCCTGGCCTCTTAGTCCGCGGATCCTGGCAGGAGGAACTTCTCCAGCCACCCCCCTAATCAAGCCTAGATCAGCGTATCTCGGCTCGAGGGTAGGTTTCCACAAGGTCTTAACGAGAATCCCTGGTCTTGCGGCTCGTCCCTTCTCCATCGAAGAGCCAAAGAAAACACCTGGCCACGCATCGCCGAAGAGAGTATCTTGATCCTGCGATAAGGGACGTCTCATTATGAGCTTGCGAGTCAGATCGTCGACGGCTCTGCAGCGCTACGACCCTCGCATCGCATCGCTGCCCACACCAGCCCTGGAGAGACGCGTCAAGAATCCCTTGGATCGCATCAACTTGGGGGGCGATAAGCGGCGCTGTACGTCCAATGAAGACCACGAGCCCACGCCGAATCTTGAGCCACACCATGCACATGGCCGAAACCATGATAATTCCCCTTGTCTCTGTTCTAGCCTTGCGCGGGGCCAGAGTAGTCCATGCTGGAACGAAACAAGCTCATTAACTTAAGCTCAACTTCCCTTCGAGACTTCAATCACCTTCAGGATTTCCCGGGGCAGAGCCTGGCAGAGGTCCTCGGCAACCTTCCTTGGGTTTGAAGACGAAAACCTTCGGAAGCGATCAAGATGAAAGACACGGGGATCGAAACTGTGTTGGAGGACTTGGACAACGTGACGACCCTCGAGGAGGCCAAGTCCATCAATAGCGACGATGCCCTCCTCATGTCCATGGGCAAGAAGCCGGAGCTGAAACGAGGTATGTAACCCGCGGCGCCGTTATTGCCTCGGTGCTGAGTCCACATACAGTGTACAACTTCTGGACGCTATGCGCGTATCAGATCATGATCTCCTGCAGTTGGTCATGTCTGGTTGTCCTGTACTCGACCATCTTTGACGTCGGCGGGCCCTTTGCCCTCGTCTGGGGCACCCTCTTCGTCGCAGTGGGTCAGACTCTGCTGATGATGTCCTTGGCCGAGTACTGCACCATCTGGCCCACGGCAGGCGGCCAACAGTACTACGTCCAAGCCGTCGCCACCGGAAAGCTTCGACCCATCCTATCATACCTCGTTGGTTGGGCGGTCATCGTCGGAGAAATTAGTACCGGGTCGAGCTGTGCGCTCAACAGCGCTGCGATCATTGCGTCCTTTGTCGAGGTCACTCATCCGGACTTTGTTTGGCATCCATGGATGACCTGGATCATCTACACGGCCTTCCTCATCGGGCCGATCGTCATGAACCTGAAGCAGTCGTGGCTTCCGGGCATGAACCTCTTTGGCGCCGTCTGGACCATTGCAGGCGGTATCGCGTGGGCGGTCGTCTTCGGCATCATGGCACCCAAGCACGACGCAAAGTTCATCTTCACCAAGTTTATCAACAACTCGGGCTATACCAGCAATGGCTGGGTGTTCATCATGTCGTTTTACTCGCCCATGTATGGCCTCTACGGCACGGACGGCATGATGCACTTGGTGGAAGAGATGAAGCATGCGTCCAAGGAAGCGCCCGTGAGTGTCCCGATCCCGTCTCGACACATTTTGACCGCGGCTGACGGATCCAGCGAGTGATTGTCTGGTCGATGGTATTCTGCAGTGTCACCAGCTGGCTCGGCGCCATCCTTCTGCTCTGGACCGCTGGGAACTGGGAGGAATACATGCTCGGTACGCTCGGTCCACCAAACATCCCCCAACTCCTGCTTGCGAGGCTAACATGCTTGACACTCCCAGCCTCGCAACCGTACATGAACTGGTGGATGGACGTCTGCAACTCCGTCTACGGCGGCGGCATCTTCTGCGCACTCATAATGATCGGCCTGAACTTCTTCATCATCGTCGGCACGAACAACGCCGGCTCGCGCCTCGCCTGGAGTATGGCTCGCGACAAGGCGTTTCCCTACTCTGACTACTTTGCCCACGTGAGCACGAGGTTCCACATCCCCTTGAGGACGATGATTGCGATCCTGGTTGTCGATCTGGTCATTGGTGAGCAGTACCTCCAGCGGTGGTGAAGAGAAATGTCGCGCTGTGCTAATGCTGGGGAACGTAGGCCTCATCGTCCTAGGCAGCGACCTCGCGTTCGAGTCGATCATCTCCGGCGGTGGCGTGACGCTACAGATTGGCTACGTGACGCCCATCATCGTGGTACGTGTGGTGCGGAGCCGCCTTTTCGCTGTCCGCCGTGAGAGACTCGCGCTGACTCTTCTTCTTCTTCTTCGTCCTCTCCAGGTCCTCATCCGCGGCCGATCCATCCTGCCACCTCGTCCACACTTCGACCTCGGCCGCTGGGGATACCCCATCAACATCATCTCCGTGTGCTGGTCCCTCGTCATCATCACCATGTATCTCTGCCCGCTGTACGTGCCCGTCACGATCGCCACGATCGACTACATGAACTGGAGCTGTCTGATCGTCGGGGCCACGATCCTGTTCCCGGGCATCTATTGGGTGTGGAGGGCCCGGTTCCGGTACATCAAGGAGGGGAATTCCGTGCTAGAGGATAATGTCGTCTGGATTGATGGCGTTGCTGTGAGTGGACGGGAGGCGTTGAGGGAGGCAGCCATGCATTCTGAGGCCAAGGAAGTTAGGTGACACCGCGAGCGCAGTGAGCAACCAAGTGTGCGTGATAGTTCATGAGGGGCGTAAATACACCAAGGCAGGATAAGGCCTGGCAGGCCGTAGATCGTACCTAAGTTGCCAGGTATGCTAATTAATTGCATTGTTACGAGTGAAGTGATGTGATATAATTGATCTAGATACGAGTAATTGATCATTTGCGGCATTGATATGACTTGATCAAGCATGTCTTGTTAATTCTGTGGCCTCGAGCCAGAGTACTCGTGCAGTAAAGTAGTGTACTGTACTTGCTGGTAAGGAAGTCATAGGAGGTCGTCACGTCAAGAATACTGTAAACTAGCTAGGTGAGAGCTTTGGGAATTTGGGTTCAGAAAGGCCATATGGGTGTGGACCGAGGGATACTGTAGCAATTCCGACTTCTACCAGAGACGGTAGGTAGTATTTCTTCACCCTCCTTTGGTTGCGTTTGCTTTTGCCTCTGCCTATTTCTATGCCCACGCTATGCATTCTAGACCCTGCCCATGCCCACGCTGTCGTTTCTGCACGGGGCGGTTTGTACTTCTCTCTCTATATGACGCTCGCTCTCGTAGTGGTGACCCAAGGCCTGAGAGTGGTCCTACCGTGGCTCTTGAGGATAATGACTAAGGGTCCAGAGAATGGACACTGGACAATGTGATTCCCGTCCTTTGCGGCTCGGAATATGTATTTTTTGCACGCCAAAGATAATTACTGGGTACAGCGGCGCATAGTACTCGTATGGCGAAGATACAGATACCGTACAGACAGCGGTGCGATCGCGCGTCGGGTTTCGCGTTCTTGGACAATGGATTCCGTAGGTACATACCCTCGATACGACTCTAGATGACTTTGACTTTGACTTTCGTTTGTGGCCAGAACAGCCCGGGCACCGACCAGGGAATGAGCGTGGATTTATAGCGTAGAGAGTACAGAGGAGAGAGTACAGAGGAGAGAGTACCGAGGAGAGGCGTGATATTCGCTGGAGGGTCCCAGTATTCTCGAAATACTGAAATACTGCCATATGGCACATCATGTCATATATCGGTATCAAGGTCATGGATGGGAGAGCGTACTGTATATATACCTAGGTATATGGAATAGATGTGCCGACAAATGCAAAACACACGCATATCAAGCAGGGTACCCCGTTGGTCTGTAACTCCTGTACTCCCTACAGCATTCCGTCTGTCTACATACCAATTTATATACTGTATTTGGACTGGCGCCCTCACACCGGGAGATCCTCCGCAGACCCAAAGGTAGGCGCCATCGACCTTATTCTGATCCATGGGCGTCTACACATGTATATCCATGCGGCCTTGGTCGTGATTCGCGTACGCAATAGCTTTGATTCGGTGGGTCAGTCTTCCAAGTTGGACCTTGACTTGGACTGTCTACCTCGAGTGACAATGCACCATGCATCATCCATCATGCATCACGCAATGCCGAACTTGATTCGCAAATCAGACAGATATCCGACGTCGTGGGATTTGTTCTGTTGTCCATGTTCTTCGCTACATACATACATGCATATATACTTGCCTCCACACATCTATCCACCAAAGCCACTCTCCGTGGTCACAAAAAGACGACAACCCCCACCGTCACAGCCAGCAAACCTAACACACTCATACCACGCAGTGTCCCGGCCCCATTCCCGCTTGCGGTGGCGGTGGCGGTACCTGTATTCTGCGCTTGTGCCGTCGCAAGAGTCGCGCTAGCAACAGTATTCACGGCGTTGGGCTTCGGCGCGTCCGTCAGGTCCAAGCCTAGAAACAACGTCTGAGCACAAAGACTGGGCAGCGACCTGGCGAAGTTGTATTGTTCGTCGGATGGACAGCTCTGGACACAGCCGATCAGAGGGTCGTTGGACGGGGTGTAGCTTTTGCATTTACATTGGTCGAGGGCCGAGCCGGTCTCGGTGCCGTCGCAGTGGTTGACGATGGGGTTGACGGTGATGCAGGCGTCGACGCACTGGCCGTAGACGGACGTGCTTGTTGGTGTTGCGGAGGATGATGTGCGGGTCGTCGTTGATCTTGTGGTGGTTGAGGTGGACGTGGACGTGGACGTGGATGTGGTAGAGGATGTTCGTTGGGGGTTGTTGAAGCCTTGGGCTTGTATCGAGGCGATGAGGGATGAGAAGAGGAGCAGGATCGGCAGGGACGAAACGAGGGAGAACATGCTGGAGTGAAAACTCGGGCTGGACTCAGGCAGGTTCGGGTTTGGGCTCTGCCTGTGGTTGACGCTTCTTCGACAAGGAGGTGCGTTCGACACGAGCGGAGGGAATATTTGTTGTAACAAGCAGAGGCCTGTCTGTGGTAAGTATCGTACGCTCAGTGGGAAAGCAAGCAAAGAGAGTGAGTGAGAGTGAGTGATCGCTCAACCGCTGTCGTTGGAACGATCGTGTTGCAAATTACCTGGGTGTAAGGAGATAGACAGAACGACGGATGAGAAACGGAAGAGGAAGAACAGGGCACCACAATCAAAGCACCCTGCGCCGCTAAGCAATATGAGAGTCCATGTCGCATCCTTTGCTCTGTATACGCTTCATGTCGTGGCTGCGAGTCTTGGTCTGACTCAGGCTGGGCCTCAGATCCCAATTTTGGCGACGCAAGGCTGTGCTGGGCGGTGCTCACCTCGTCAACCAGCCAACGAGGACGCGGGCTCGGAGTGTGGTTGATGATCCCGCCGATATGGGGCTGTGGGGTGCTGGGCGGTCACGGACGGCCGTTTATGAATGCGCACGGAGTAACTCGTACTCTGTACACAATCGCATGATGACCGTGGATGAAGTGTAGCTTGGAGTCGCGTCGAGGTGCTCTCACGGACTGAAGCTGTTGACGGGCATCGAAACCTCAAATAGCACTCTCGGGATCTAGTTCCGCGCCTCCAGACGGATTCTATAAGTATGACGGAGTTGGACTCTATCCTCACCACCTGGAAAAAGGTATAGCATAATGTTCGGAGGGTGCTGATCTGGCTGTCGCAAAGATGAACCATAAGTCAATACAAAGTGAGTCGATGGTGAAGTGAGTCAATAAAAAGTGAGCCGATGGTAAAGTGAGGGTGTCCCCGCGGCTCTGGCAACTGGCTTTTGTGGTTGGCGGGAGCCGGATCAGTGAACCGACGTCATCGCGGGTGAATCGCAAAGCGCGCGCCGAATGAATCGTGACCAAATCGCCCTCGTCCTTCATCCCCTCCTCATCATGAACTGGTGATAGAAGAGTCCTGTCCTATACTCTCAACATTGATGCGGACCTTCTTCGTCTTCGGCCGCTTCTGTGGCCGAAGGGAGTTTCCCTCGACCTTCTCTCACTTCGCCTTCCGAGTGCGCATTCCCCGTCATCAGCAGTCGTTTGCCCGATGGACCAGAAAATATAGTCTGAAAGACCCGCGTCAAAGGCGCACGCCGACCCTCCTTGCAGCAGCAGCAGCAGCGACCGCGATCTCCCCCGCCGCTTTTGTTCAGTTGGGAGAGAACCATGATGGGGAAAAGACAGGCGAGATGTATATGCTGGAGATGTCCAGGCAGGAGATCAGCAAGGAGGTTCCCGAGGACGCCCGTGGCATCCGCCGCTTCTACAAAACCGTCATATATGTGCTAGACCAATGGGTCTACGAGCCCATAGCCACGAGCTTTCGGTTCCTGCACCTCCTCCTCATTTTCGTCCCCGTCATTGTCACGATACCGGCCGCATTTCTGGGACCAAGGAGGAAAGACCACGATGATGAGAGAATTGGCACTATATGGTGGTATGGTTTCCTGGTGAAATCCATGGAGAGAGCTGGCCCGGCCTTCATCAAGCTCGGACAATGGGCCGCCTCCAGGAGCGACATCTTCCCGGCCGAGATGTGCAGGCAAATGTCAGAACTACATTCAAACGCTCCTGCTCATCCTCTGCGCCATACTATCAAGACCATCTCCGAAGCGTTTGGCGGGAGGACCTTTGATGAGATCTTTGAGGAATTTGACGAAAAACCCTTGGGTGTCGGCGCCATCGCTCAGGTCTACAAAGCAAGGCTGAAGCCGGATCTCGCAAGACTCGACAACAGTGAGCTCGAGGCGTCCGACAATCTCCGCCTAAGCCACCGCATCAAGAAGAACGTTGATGCCCTGGTCAAGTCAACTCCTCAGAGAGTTCCTTCGGCTTACGTGGCTATCAAAGTTCTCCATCCCAAGGTCGAGCGGATTGTCCGCCGCGATCTCAAGATTATGGCTGTCTTCGCCGCCGTCATCAATGCTATCCCAACCTTGGAGTGGCTGGATTTACCCAATGAGGTATACAATTTTGGCGGAATGATGCGTCTGCAATTGGATCTTCGCATCGAAGCTGCCAATTTAACGATTCTTCGCAAACATTTCCAGCGTCGCACGACTGCATGGTTCCCTTGCCCGTATACCGATTTCACAACCCGCAATGTCCTAGTCGAGGAGTTTGCTCAAGGCATCCCGCTGGCAGCATTTTTGGAGTCTGGAGGTGGCGTTTTTCAAAAAGACATCGCAAACGAGGGACTGGACGCTTTCCTGCATATGCTGCTGATAGACAATTTCGTCCACGCCGACCTCCATCCGGGCAACATCATGGTCAACTTCTACAAGCCAACTCATCCAGAACTACCCAGCTATCTGTCACGACAAGATGCATCGCAGCCATCGACCGCTTCCGAGATTGACGCCTCTGAGGCGGTCCTGTCACGCCTGCGCCCACATATTGGCAAAAAGAAGGAATGGCAGGCGGCCCTTGCGGAGATTGAGAAGGACGGTTACATACCGCAGTTGATTTTCATCGACACGGGCCTAGTCACGGAGTTGAACGCAAAGAACAGAACTAACTTTCTCGACCTCTTCCGCTCTATCGCCGAGTTCGACGGCTATAGAGCTGGCCACTTGATGATCGAAAGGTGTCGACAACCTGACGCTGTGGTCGATGGCGAAGTTTTCGCTTTAAAGATGCAGCATCTCGTCTTAGCTGTCAAGGGTCAAACCTTCGCTCTCGGCAACATCAAGATCGGGGACGTCCTGTCGGAAGTCCTAGGCATGGTTCGATCTCACCATGTTAGGATGGAGGGCGACTTCGTCAACGTGGTCATCTCAATCTTGCTGCTCGAAGGGATTGGTAGGACGCTGGATCCGGATCTCGATCTATTCAAGAGCGCCTTACCCATCTTGAGACAGCTGGGATCCTCAGACCCAGGCGCTGTGCTGAAAAGTTTCAGAGAAGGCGACTTCTCGCTATTGAAGATCTGGGTTGGACTGGAAGCCAGAAGGTTCTTCCAGGCCAGTGCAGAAAGTGTTGAGATGTGTGTCAAGTATGATCTGCTCAGCCCCAATGTCTGAATGGGCGCGAGAAAGTCCGCCAACGGGTTCTCAGCACTGTCTCCAGTCGTCCACAGGTGACTCGAGACCCGCCATGTTGCTCATGAGCTTTCCGAACCGTACATTCTCCTCACACGCGACTTGGAACTTAATGTCAAGCTAGGTTTTTGGCCGCTGGAATGAAATGCCCCGGTGTGGCTTGGTATACAACACGATACCCTGGCTGTCTCTGAAGACCCTCAAGCTCTCGACGACGATGCCGTGCCTCAAATCGTTGAATGATGATTTGGATCTGGTGTCTTCACAAGGAAAGTGCTTGCCGCGCAATGGCGAGCCGCTAGACAACGCTGCGACCTATTAACAACACCCGCGTTTATATTTATACAGAATATGCTTTATATTTTTTGCTCAGTGGTAGCTCGGCCTGCATTGTACATTTCATATTCCTCAGCAGACCCTAGTAGTGCGAAGGACTGGGTGTCGGTTCCGAACCACACCTACGCGACCCTGCAGACTTTACCGGCATGATATGCACCGAAGCGAGCTCTGACGGGGCAGAAAGAACCGGCCCAGGCCTTTTGAAGCTCGTATGGGCTGAGCGTGCTCGAGATTCGACTTGCTTACTTGGACTACGAAAGCACGTTGATTACAATACGCTGGTGCGCCGGCTGTCCGTAGCATGGTGGCCCATGAACAATTATAAGCGAAGGTGATCGCAAGCGATAAGAGCATCTGCTTCAAATTTAGCAGAGGGTCAAGCCATACGTGGGACATCGACATCAAAGGCTCTGCATGCCCAGAAGTGCTGAGAGCGAATGGCTCAGCTCACTGCATTGTCTAAATGTGTGCTAAAGCACCGAGAAGCTTTTCTGCAGCTTCCAGAATCAGGCGACCGTTCTCTCGCTTGCCAGGTACGAGGTTGCAGTCCGCATGCGTTTCGGTAGATGTCATCGGCGACGCGCAGTTGACTTCTTCCGTGCTGCCACACCGCGTCTCCTATCAGGCAGGAGGCTGGCGTGGTAAAGTTAGGGACTGAATCTGGGCGGCCCGGTCTCAACAGCCGCTAGTCGAAGCACCGAGGGGCAAATTACCATGAAAGCCTCCACCCCCATGGCGTGAAAGTCATGGGGGTGGTCGGGGCGGTGGACGGCTTTGCGGGGAAAGGGCCACAGTCGACCACACGGCGACGGATCGGGTACGGTTTCTACACCGTGGCCAAGGTCTGGAATGCCAGTACGGGTATGGAGTACGGAGTAGACTGTAGCGCATTCTGGAGTCGAGAGAGTCGGTCGACACAGTACTTCGCAGGCTGGTGGTACTGGATCAACAACCTTTGTTATCATTTACAGCCTTGGACTGCGCGGCTTTGGCTGGGGGATACCCCATCGATCTCTCAAGTCAGGTGCCAGATGGCTGCAGCCAACCATACCATTCACCAAGCCGCGATCCCCCCATGCACCTTGTCGATACCTCGTGCGCGCTTGGCTTTGTCCGGCACGTCACCGGTGTGTTCCCGTCTAAGCTCCTCCTGCCCAGAAATGGACGCTCATATTGACACTCCACAACGTCAGCCCAGGGCTGCCCAGGCTGCTTGCCCCAGCTTGATTCCTCCGCCAACAGACACAGACACTCGTCACGAGTGGCCAGCTGGCACCTGCATTAGCCATGATTCATGCGATCATCCCCACGATTTCTGCTTCCATGCGTGGCAAAGAGGCGGACCTCGCTTCCTGGGAACTCGGAGGGTTGACCATGTGCAGCTCTGAGCTCAAGCTCCGCTCTTTAAAAAGGATGACGATCCTGCATCATCTGAGAATTGTTCTCCTCTCCTTCCAGTTCCCACCTGAGCATTTCCCTCTGCTGCGTTGACAGCAGGATCTCAAAATGGGTGACAATAAGATCAGAGCCGATGGCGTGATACTCGACCATGAGGTCTTGGGAGAGAAGGGCAATCTATCCCACGAGGAGGCCATGCACTTTGGTGCCCTCACCGAAGATGAGCTTGCCATTGAGAAGAAACTGGTGCGCAAGATTGATCTGCGCATCATGCCTCTGGTCGTCCTCGTGTACCTGATGAACTATATTGACCGGTATGCCTTGCTGTTTGCGCGTATTTTAAACCAGGCACGGAGCTGACGAGAACCCCAGGAACAATTATGCCGCAGCTCGACTACAGGGGCTTGAGGAGGACCTGAACTTGCGTGGAGATCAATATCAGACCGGTAAGCGTGATCGTCAACCTAACGTTGGCTCCAGCTTCTGATCAGTCTTGCAGGTCTTTCTATCCTCTTCGTCAGCTACATTCTCGCTCAGGTGCCCTCTAACCTCCTGCTCAACCACCTCGGTCGACCGTCACTGTACCTGGGCTTCTTCGTGTGCGCTTGGGGCCTGGTTTCGGCCTTGACATGCCTGGTCAAGAACTTTGCAGGCATTGTTGTCGCCCGACTTATGCTCGGTTTTATGGAGGCCCCATTTTTCCCTGGTACGCAAGCCCTTGCTCTTCGGTCAAGGGGAAGACAATCTAACTCTCGTACAAGGTGTCCTTTTCTACCTGTCAAAGTGGTATACCAAGAAAGAATTGAACCTGCGAATGTCGATCTTCTACTCCGGGTCCCTCGTCAGTGGTGCCTTTGGCAATCTCATTGCAGCTGGTATCCTCAGCGGCTTGGCCGGTGAGATGGGCTTGTCAGCATGGTAAGTGCATCCAAGATCCCCACTGTGGGTTTCTTTCAGTTCAGATCAATTCTGACCGTCTGCTTCCAGGCAATGGCTCTACATCATCGAAGGTGCCATTACATGTTTCATTGGCATCATTATCATTTTCGTGCTTCCCGACTTCCCCAGCACGTGGAAGAGGTTGTCGCCCGAAATGAAACACGTCGCCAACCGCCGCCTCGCCATTGAAGCCGCCGAAGCCGACGTCGACGAGGCGGGCGGCATGTCGCAGTGGAAGGGCTTCAAACTGGCCATGACCGACTCCAAGACCTACATGCTGGCGATCGCGTACATGTGCATCACCGGCGCGGCGGGCTTCCAGAACTTCTTCCCGACGCTCACGGCCACGCTGGGCTACAACCGCATCATCTCGCTGCTGCTGTGCGCGCCGCCCTACATTTTCATGGTCTTCTACTCGTTCGCGCACTCGGTCGTGTCGGACCGCATGAGCAACCGGTTCTGGTTTTTCATGTATCCCATCCCCATCACCATCGTGGGCTGCATCGTGTTCATGACGACCGACTCCTTCGGCCCGCGCTACTTCAGCCTGTTCCTCCTGATCTTCATCTTCGCCATGAACGGCACGTGCTACGCGTGGATCGCCTCGGCGATTCCCCGACCGCCGGCCAAACGCGCGGCCGCGTACGCCTTTATCAACTCGATCGGCAACTCGGCCTCCATCTGGACGCCCTTTACCTATCGGACGCAGGACGCGCCGCACTACGTCTTGGCCCTGTGCATCTGTATCGCCCTGCAGGTCGTCGCGGCCATCATGGGCGTCAGCATGCGCATCAAACTGACCCGGCAGAACAAGCGGCTGGAGAGGATGGAGAACGAGGACGTCCCGCTGACGGAGCGCGATCTCGTCAAATTGAGGAGGACCGCCGAGGTCGAGGGCATCGATCTCGCCGCCGCCAGGAGGTTGCAGAAGGGCTACCGCTACATGATCTAACTAAAAAACCTTCCTGACTTTGCGCGAGGGCCCCTGTCGAGAGAGACGAGGGAGACGAGGAATGATCAAATGTGTTGCGGTTGCAAGTTGGACAACACCTGTTCGAGGTGTTCGAGGGCCTTCCGCTTGGATCAAGGTGGTGGGCCAAAGTGGCATTTCCCCCCCTCCCTGCTTTGGTGCTGAATTGCAGAACGGAAAAGTACGGATGCTTCAGAATGCCCGTGACAATATATATATGCATGAATACTGAGTACTCTGTGTGTGTGTATGTGTGTATAAATTCAACGTCTGAGACACTTAACAATCTCGTACTTGGTTGCTCTCTAGCCAAGCCGATTTTGTCGCTTTGAAGATCTGGCGATCCAGCTATTTCTCCCCTTGTCTCTGCCAGTACATAGCTTGGGCCTCGCTACGTCGTTACCCTTCTACTTGCTAGTGAAAGCACTGGTGATTCAGCGGACGTGCAAATTGAATGGAAATGCAAACTAACTAGGCGAGGGGGTTTCGAGTTTGAGACTCAGCGTCCAGGGCTGCCACCGTTCATTCACAACGTGGTGCGTGCGTGCGTGGTACGTAGACGAGCATCTGCTTGCTTGGTAGGTACTGTCCTGATGTGCTTGCTTGGTAGGTATTGTCCTGACAGCTTTCAACTCTGCATAAGAAATTGCTGACCGCGAGACTTTTGGAGACTTTTGCTTCAAATTGAATGGTCGCACTGTAAGAGCATTATATGGGAAGGTCTCGCAGCCTCGTGAGTGCGCATGCGCGTGCGTCAGCGTCCACGCCCATGTCCGCACCCACCTGAAGCTCACGGAGTGTAGTAACTTGCTATGCCTTTTCTCGTCGGCCCGAATGACTTTTTGCATCAGTACTTCGGTCCGGTCTTGGACTTCAGGAGTGAAGTGCTCGTGCTGCTTCCCGTCAATAGGGGGAAGAGAGCACTGTAGCGGCAAGGCCAGAGCAGCCTCCCATTCGGCGGAACACCTCTTTCTGCACGTCTTCAGCCTGAGCCGTACTGTCTCGAGTAATCACGTCGCTTGTTGGTGGAGGTATGGCGATCTGCGTGAGCTGCGCGAACATGGCGCCGGCGAAGCTACTGCAACGGGCGTCGACGCGGAAGCTCGTGGCGCCGATTTGGCCGAGTTTCTTGACGTACAGGGCGGTCGACACGGTGAAGTGCCTGGACTCTGAGAACGTGGTGAAAACTTCTGCCATGTCATCGACTTGAATTTTCATCTTGTTCAAGTTTGCCTTCAGGGATCCAAGCTGAGGTGCCAGCGCTTCAAGAGAGGCGAGCGTGTCGGCAATCTGCTGCTGTAGCTTATTCACGTTGTCGACAATTGGCGTGGCCTGCTCGACTATGCCGTTCGCGATTGCTGCAGTTGTCTGGTTCTGCACGATGTCCTTGTTGCAATTCTGGATGTTGTTATAGTGACTTTGAAGGAAGTCATCCCACTTGTCGTCGGGGAAGGATGCATCAAAGCGTCGAGTATAGTCTTCTGAACAAAAGTGTTGGTGGCGTCACCAGTAGTCAGGGGAAAGGGGATGGAGGCTCACACCTATCCCAGTTAGATCGTCTTTCATGTTCATGTGGAGGTGATCTGCCACTTCCTGTTTCTGCTCCTGGACGTTCTTCTGAAGGTCATTTATCGCCTTCTGTGCGGTTGACGCACTGTCCTTTTGCTCGGCAATGGTTTTGGAGCCGAATTCGCCGAAGCTAGTCATGTTGGCCAGAAGCGTGGGGATCTCGCCCTGATCCAAATCCCGAACCTGGACAGTCAGGTCTCCCACCAAAGACAACAACGCGGACGCAGAGTCGGCGGCATTCAGGAGACCCCTTTGGCTTCCATCGGTGACCTGGAGCAGGAAGTCGCTGGGATCCATATTGCCGGCTTGTTCCAATTTTGCTTTGCTAATCTCTTCGACAGAATGACCTGCAAGATCATGGCCATCCGCGTCAGGCCTTCGAGTCCGGTATTGAGATTGAGAACAACTTGGTTGTATTCCTGGCCGACCCTTGTTTGCAGTTGAGTGTGAATTGCATCAATCTGACTGATGTATTCAGTCAACCGGACAAGGAGAGTGTCTGCTTGAGCTTTGATTGGATTCAGCTCCGCGGCAATTTGCGCCTGCGACTGCACCTGTGCGGCCTTGAGAGCCTCGTTGGCCTCGTCATCCAATCTGGACCATTCCTGCTGAGCCTGTTGCATACGCTCGCGTTGCTTCTTTCGTTCCGCGTCCATGGCTTCAAGGGCTGCCTCTGTGCCATCAACAACGCCTTGCGCAACCGTGTCTGCACCTGATCTGGCCGTGTCACTGATGACAGTGCTAGCCGTGGTCGCAGCTCCAGCCATGGCGCCTCCGGCAGATTCGGCGGTATTTTTGATGGTGTCACCTGCGTGCGTGGCAGCGCCGGCAATGGTCTTTCCTGCGCTTTCGAAGGCGTGGCCAACGTCATCAAAGAAGCCCATTTCGTCATTCTACTGGAGACTCACTTTGGTCCTGGCCATATCGAGGGAGAGAAGCAGCCCTTTTTGAAGAGCGTGGAATCGATGTTTGCGGCACTTCATCCTCAAGACGCTCGGCTGCTGCGCCGTGACAGTGTGTGTTGAGAAAAGTGGTGTCCCACCCGTTAGCTGGATGTTTACCACTTGGAGAGACTGCTTGCACCAGGTACGGCTCGTATCTGTGGTAGAAGAAAACCAGCCCCAGCATGACGACCAAGTGAGTATCTGCTCGGCAGGAGATGAGAGACCGCACAATGTGAGGAACAACCTTCCTGTTTCGTTCGGCTGAAACCGCGAACCAATCATGGTCAGTTCCTCCGCGCTAACAGAATTAAAACACTCCCTCACGCCTCTAGATAACCGAGTACCGGAAATGTTGGTTGAGTGTTTGTATGTCCTTCATTCCACTTCATCGACTATATATAAATTTGAGTGTTGTACAGGTACAAGCTACACATGTCCGGCAGATATGGACTCTCAGGCTTTAGCTTAGTCCCTCCTTCGACCATCACTCCCCCTCTCGTTCTAACCCCAGTGGAATTCCTATACGTCCCACCACATCGAGTCGTGAGACTCACTACCACGTGTATGTTCAGGTTTTGATATTGCTTTCCTTGACCTTTCACGACCCAGCAGACTCCGCGACAACACGTCCAGATATCGGCGTAGCCGCGGTTGCAGATTCCAACACCAGCAACGCATAAAACAAATTCCACGCACGTTCCACCCTCGAAAGCCGCACAGTTGACGCACAGAATAGCAAAGATTTCGGTCACAAAAGCAAAGTAGGGCCACCCATAGTCATGTTCCGCATGCCGGAAGAGAGAAGCGTCGAAGTCATCGAATAACACAAGAAAATGTCTAAGTGCCGCCCAGCCGTTGCAGATATCCGTGAAAGCCCAAGTCATCCAATAGTCGAAATCGCTGGTTGGCGGACAAATGTTGGAGATATTGTGAAGAGCCCTTATTTCTGATGGTAAAAGATACGGGCCTGGTGGTAAGAGAAGTGGGTCGAATGTGAACAGGGCAGCCAAGAATCGTGGTTTGAGGTTGAGGACCAAGCCGAAAACTAAAACATGCCACCATCTTGATGGACGCTCAAAGAGGTTGTACTTCGGTTCGGGAAAACAGGCACAGCCGGGCTTCGAAGCCTCTCATGACCAAACTCGGACAGCATAGCTTGGTTCCGGGCACGAGCAGCCATGCTACCACCCTCACTGCTGATCTTCCTAAGTCGATTGCGTGGACGTGGTTGAGCCTTCTGCTGCAAATGCTGGTGTTCAATGTAGGAAGGTTGGGAGCCAGGGAAACCCATGGTCCCACGATTCGGAGATTCGGGCATCGAGGTCATCGGTGAAGCGTGCATCCCGGGACTCGCAGCTCCGTCTGATTTTTCGGTCGTGGTGTTTCCACGTCGACGGGGATTCATGGTCGGAATTGGTGGGCTTGCAATTTGGCCTGGTCGCGGATTGCTCGGCAAGCCGACCAACGGAACTGACGAAGTAGAGGAGATAAAGGTGGGCTCGGAGATCATGCCCTTAGTGACTGACTTCTTGCGACTGCCTATAGGAGTGGAGCGGCCTTCAGCAGGTGTAAAGCGACCAGATGGCGGTGGCTGAGGAAGAGGACCAGATGGAGAGGGTAAAGCAGATGGTACAGTAGAGGAAGGGCCAGAAAGAACAGGGGACATTCCGGCATGAAGTGCGAATGGACTGATTGGTGAATGTGGGAAAGGAGGGCGAGGCGATGGCCGGGGTGCGCCCATTGGAGGTATGGCACCATTCCCAAGCTGGGGAGTGCCACCCATAGTCGGGGTTGGAGCACGAAGATCGAAATAGTTGGTTGGTCGAGGGCCGGTTCCACTTGGTCGTCGATTCGACATTGCTGAAGCCGACCTCTCGTAGGTGCGCGGATCTACTGGGGGAGGGCCACGGTGGGGACCACGTGAAGGGTGAGGGCCAGCATAGCCATTCGGGCCGTCGCCTTGGGCAAAAGTACGGTGCTGCTCGCGATATCCTGCTGCGTGAGGTTGGCCGGGTCTACCATATTCTGCCGGCGAATATGGCGGATCGTCTCTGTACCGCCCTTGACCGGGGCGGCTTCTTGATCTCTCGGCGGCCTCGGAATCAGCTCGATCGCGCCTTGGCCTTCCAGAGTTTGGTGTCGCTGACCGCAGTTGATATGATCGCTCATGTTCTTCGTTGGAGTAGTGAGGATGAGGTTCTGGCCTGGCAAACCCTGGTGTTCGTCGCCCATTGGGTGGCTCAAATTCAGCAGGTCTAGGTCTTGGAGGCCGGTCGCCATGACCATCATATCCATGGTCGAAATCGTAATCGAGTCTGGCGCCTGTATATGTGGACCGGGAGACAGGCTCAGCCTTAGGGCCCCCACCAATCCCAAGCATTTTCATGGCTTTTGGCAGGGGCTCGTTGCTGCGAGAAGTAAGACCCGTTTTGCTGGTCTTGTGGCGGAGCGCGTGCAAAGCTTGCGTCGCAGGATTATGGCGATCTTGACTCTGAGAACGCTTCCCTGCCTCCGCAACTCCTCTCAACCCTTCTTGAATTCTTCTCGCTCGCTCAGCTAGCTCATTGCCGAACTCTTTCTGTGTCTCGGTGCTTTCTCCGCGGTGATGAGAGAGCACATCATGTTGCCATCCCCGGCTTGCAGGATGGTTGTCCATCATACTGGGCGCATCGTCCCCCAGAAGCTGCTGGGCCTTGCTCGTGGCTTGCATCTTATGAGAAATTGCCTGACCGAGTATTTGCTGTGCCTTTTGAGACATAGATGGGATAGCATCATTCTGAACAGGTGCCACATGACTCTGTTGGGTACGATGAGCATTGTCAAATTCCCAGGGATCACTGTGTGTGCTCTCGGGGGGATTGACTGTGCGAGCAGTCGAGGCGACCGAGGGCTCGCGATCACGAAGAGAGGTAGGGTAATTGTCATGCTGTGTAGAGCCAAAAGATGGCTCTCGCTCGCGGGCATAGACTCGGTAGCTCTCATTCTGACCCAAGCCGCTCGATGATTCCCGCTCACGGAATGGACTGGAAGAGAAGCCGGACTGATAAGGTGGGAATGCAGGCGACGGCGGAAGAACAGACGACCTATCGCTATCGTGCCTTAAATGAGTTCTGATCAAACCGCTCAGACCCAATCCAGCTGTCGGCCCCAAGGTGGGGGAGTCTTTGACCTCGTCCTGAGATCGACGATGCAGAGAGTCCGAGGTGTCTGGAGTATCCTGGATCACGGAAGGAGACGAAGTGCCAGCTGAAACATCCGAATGGGGTCGAGTTGGATCGGAAAGAGGTGCGGGCTGCTCTCTGACATCGACATGATGCGAGCCATCGCGAAGCGCCGGATGAACTTCCATTGGGGCCAGTCGCGGTGCTGGCTCATATCTCCCCAGCATTGGGCTGTCTGCGTCATCGTCACTGCCGTCAAAGGTGTCGAAAAATGTTCCCCTGGATGCTGCCGGCTGCCCCATCAGAGAACTGGGGACCTGCATCGGTGCGGCGCGTACACTTGGCTCTGCAGCTTGCCGTTGCGATTGCAACGTAGAGAACTCCTGGTTTTGACGTTTGATCAGTGCTTCAGCATGTGCTTGAACTTGGGCTGATTGGACAGAAGAGGCATTCGATTGTGCTCTCGAGCGACCTGCGATAGAAGTACTGCTGGATTCCCGGCCTCGAGGAAAACCTTTTTGGAAAGGCGACGGTGGGATGCTTGAAAGGACCGGTCGACCAGGCTCGTTCTGCCGCTCTCTGATGCCACCATAATCTGGGCCATCGGACGTGGGTGGTGAACCTCGGCCACTGTGCATTTGCAGCTGCCTCTCCTCAAACTTATGCTCGTCAAATTGTTGCTGTGGTCGGTTAAACAGTCCCATCGCCGTCGCTTTGCCACGGTCATTGGGCTGCAAACTGCGGTTGTATACGTCGCCCTCCTCCTCATCATTGGTTGGTGAGGCCGTCTGATATTTGCGCGAGTGGTTGATAGAGTTCTTGAGACCGAAGTCAAGAGACGCCAGTGCCTGTGATTGGATGGCGGGCGTGGGACTATTTGCCCTTGGAATGCCGGTGGAGAATGGAGAGGCTCCGCGGCTATACTTGTCTGACAGATTGGTGACATTTCCTGTTTGCGGAAGCTGCCGGCTGTTGATTGGAGACAATGGAAGAGGAGGCTGTTCTTGATTGTCGGTGCCGGGAAATGCTCTCCGAGATTCAGAGGAGAGGTTCCGTCTCAGCAAGCTCTCCTCACTGCCATACTCCGAGCCATGCATTTTGGCGTTGAAACCAGCACCTGTGTTACTCTGTCGGGGGTGAGAGCCGTCAGACACCACTGAGGTAGCAGCTGTTGAAATGCGCCTGTTGGAAGGACCCGACGCCGTCGACGACGTGGTCCCTCTGCTTTTACTGAAACCAGTCGACGGCGTGTTGATGACGCTGCTACGGTCGTGTTCCGCGCTGGTGGGTCTCTCACGAGACTCGTCACGGTCTTGCTCCTCCTTAGCTTTCATGCGCATCTGCTGATATGGAGACAAAACCACATCGCTCTGGTAGACATGCTTCGACGACGTCAAGGGAGCAGGAGTGGAAACGGGGTCTTCTGTCGAGTCCCCTGTTGAGCCTGATGCACTTGTGGCAGGTACTCGATACATCTTTTGCCGACCACCAAAAAGAATGTTGCCCTCTGTTGGCCTTGGTCGGGAGAGGACGGCACCAGCATCGTCGCTAGCATAACCCCCGCCTTCTGAGACAGCATAAGATCGGTCATCGTCGGCGAATGGGGCCTTAAAAGTCATTCGGATGGATTCGGTCTCGGCGATGTCTGTCAATGGGTTGTGTGCAAATAGGTTCAGGCGAGATGCTCTTTTCGGGAAGAGTACACTGTCATCGCTTGCCTTCCCCACCTTGGTATTAGGGTCGTCCTGCTCGCGGAGCATACTGAATCGTGCGTACAGGCCCGGCATAAGCAAACTCGTGCGGAAGTCATTTGTATCTGGGAGCGCAGTAGCGAGGTCAATTTGTGGCATGGGTTCAACCACATTCTTCTGCTTCCGTTTGAGACTGCGAGACAGTTTCGCCGGCAAGGCCGGGTCCGATGAGGCCGCCGAAGGGATGAAATAGGTATCATCCTTGGCCTTGCCTTTCTTCTTGAAGACGTTCATCCTGAACGGCTGTGGCTTGTCAAATGTAAAGAGCGTATGTAGTCAGTGACCTGAAAGGATCGTCAGTTGACGGTATGGCTGAAAGGGAACCGTGAGGCTAGGTCGTACAGAGGAAATGAGTGACTTTGAAAGGGTACTGAATATAATCAGTCCATTTGAAAGAAATATCGTAGACAACCAGGCCAGAGAGTGTGAAACCGGTTTGAGAGTCAGCGTGTTCGCTCAGACTCTGGGGTTGAGCCAGTCAACCGAAGCGCCTCTTGCCCCTTCGAGGGACAGAGATCCCACTGTCTGGGGGCGTTCAAACGTTGAGGAAGGCCGATGTGGTCGTCAATGACAGTGAACTGCTGATTGTCCGGTCTCCCCCTCTTGGAGTACAGTTCCCAATATCGATTGCGGAACGGATGTCAGTCAAGATAGGATGTGTCTGATTGGTGATAACTTAGGTGGCGTTCGAAGTGTATGTGCAATGTTGAACCACGAAATGAGCGTCGTCTCCGTGTCGCAGGAGGAAGAGAGTGGCGGTGGTGAGGCCAGAGCAAAGGAACTTGGTCAACAGTCCATCACTATAAGTCGTGAGAAGCGTGTCGCAGTTGAAGTATCGAAGTCGGCATGGACTTCGTGCCCCTTCCACCGGCAGATGGACAAGGATGAGCGTCAAGAGATGATGCAGGGTGTTATCCGTAGTCAGAGCTGTCAGTCAGGTCGTTCTCCGGCAAACGTCGTTCTCTAGCCGACGGATATCCTGCGTCGAGAGTGACGATCTGAAGCTTGGGCGACGACGTTTTGGTGGTGTGCGCGTGGCTAAGTGTCGAAGAAGGAAGCAACCGCTGGACCAGCCGACAAGAACAACGAGTGTTGGAGCAGAAACAGCACCGAGAGCAGAACGGAAGTGCTCGCCTAGCCACCAGCTGGAGAAGTGCTGGGACACAAGGGAAAGGCGAATGTGCCCTGTGATACTTCGGACGCTTGACGGTGGAGCAGGTCCAGGTCAAGGATTGATGATGGAAGTTGCGACCCTGGTCGCGAACAAGGAGCGACGCGTGCAGTGTACCGGGTACTGGGTAGGGGGACGGGATTGCGACGCTGACAAGATGCCGAATTCACAGCCTGAGCAGCCTGGACGAGGCAGACGAGGGTGTTGTTTGGCTCTGAGTCCACGATGGGTTAGAGCCAGGTACCAGGGCTCCAGCTGGCCCACCGTGACAGCCGTTTGAGGAAGCGGAAGATTCAAGTGGAAAACGCTGAACGATCTAGCCTAGCACGGTAACGAGGGCCAAGCTAATCAAACGCCCCGTGTCGCGGATCAGTAACGTGGCTTTTCCAGACAGGGGAAGTGAAAAGGATGAAAAGTGGTTTCTTCGGAGGGCAGTGGCAGGTGTCAAGCTTCACATGGGAAAACGGAAACGAACGCCAACATTAATATGGCTCCATGTCGATACTGAGATGTTTGAACAGTGGCACAAGCGGATGGCGATTGAGAAAAGGAGCATGCGAGCAAAGTGACTCGAGGGACGATCCGCTGTGCTGGTGACACGGTTGTCAGAGCAATCAAGAGGCAGTAACGCACGATTTCAAGGCTGATGAGCGTGGGTGGAAGGATGTCGCAGGTGAGATTGAGGCTGCAACCCGAGCCAGCGGATGCGGAAGCGGCAGTGGGAATGGGACGCCGGTCGCATAGGCCAGAAAACATGGGCAACGAGGAGTCGACAGGAGAAAGGAGAGGCTTCTGGTGCCATGGAACTCGCGAAAAATTGAGATGAGGCCGTGGATCTTTCACTTAGCGTGTCACAGACTGATGTGACATACGCCCGATTGGGCCACCAAGCACGCCCTGAGGTTTCCAGCAGATGCATGCAGGGACAGTCAACTCTACGCTCCAAGTCCACGAGCAGCCGTTTGACCGTCCGAAGCAAGCAAATCCATGCTATCGTTCCATGTCGGGTTCTGACATATGCAGCAAAGCATCAAGAGCAAGTGACTGACGGCCTCAAGCGGCTTCGAGTATTCAGGGAGTCCTGTAACAGCCCTGAGAAATAGGAGAGAGCACAAATGACAGTCTCTGTTCGCAGACGGATAATCCGCCGAATGTGTAGCAGTGAATCCCATGTCCCTCTCTCTCCTGTAGATCGCGTGCCTGTTCTTCTGTTCCCAGTGCTGAGCACTTCTGTGCTGAGAGTTACTGGGACAGGACAACGGTGGAACGTGGCCGGCTCACCGGACCACCCAAGCATCCTTTTCGGTGTGAGAGCCGCCCAGCGGGTGCGTGCAGCGATTGGACTGTTGATCTGAAACTCTCGAGCAGCCGCCGACCCACAATCGTGGGCTTCGGGAGGTTAACTTCGGTGGCGCTGCCGGCGTCCGGGAAGAACCTTAGTGTGCTCCGAAGGTCAATAGGACTTTTTCCAAAGATCCAATCAGTCGCAGGGCTCAACCTTTAAGCCCCTTAACGAGGAGATTGTTCACTCCACCTTCACCGAAGAACAGATCAAAGTCCTTGCGAAGGTTCAGGCTGATGGCGCTGTTTGCTGTCGATTCCTTCCCTTCTTCCAAAGTCGATTGGTTGGTTTTTCTGATTCGGGCTTTATTTTTGGGCTATTTTACGATCCACAGGCGCCAATGGATTTATGATGAGGCTTGAATTCTTCCATGTAAAGCGCCAGAGCACTTCCGCGCAAGCTGCTGTGCTTGTTGGATACACAGAACTCGTGCACAGTAGTATTGCTTGATGTCTGCGATAGCCTGTGCACACAGCACTATATCTTTCTTTGCACGGTGCGCTGTTGTATAGTTTTCCCTCGCGACCAGATTCGATTTTCGCTGCCGCTTTCTGCCCCAGATGCGACCGTCCAAATCTCCTTTAGACTTCCGGGACCGGTTCACCGTTCACGCATGGTGTAAACAATGATTTCCCAACGACGCGACACGCGTCTTGGACAGCTTTCATGCCCCAAATGCGCCTTCTACCACCGTCCGGCATGTGCTTTGGTTAGCGTGTCTGGCTTAACTTCTAGAGCCCCGCCTCCAGCTTCGGGCCTGACGCCGCTTAATTTGCCATCAGATTGTTCTCTCACGTCATACGAGGGACCGGCTTTGGCAGTGAAACCTCCGGCGCAAACGGAGGAATCAATCTCGGGGTGCTCGTCCTGGAATCATGACGCGCTCTGGGGTACACTCGTCCACCCATGCCACAGACACGAGAAGGATGTCGGACGATCATCGCCACATTCGCCACAAAGGACCGAGGTATCTGAGCGATGATATGCAGCAGTGCTCTAATTACCACAGTACTTACTTGGATTTCGATAAACCCTGCGGGTAGTCTCGCGCTTCTGCCACATGGCTCACTCGCCAAAAGAAGCGAGGGACCACCAGATACTGTGTCGAAGCACGGACTACGCCGTACAATACAAGGACACGGTACTCCCATCCCCGGTGCATATTGCGTGTCTGCACCGTACAAATCCCAAGCTTCAGCTACATAACTGTTCGATGTTTTAATGATGGTATGAAATGCCTGCGTCAAGATCTTGCCTTTCCACTCGCCGTGTTCAAGTATGGTCATCCAGGGATACGTGATTACCAGCCGACGAGCATCCGGCGGATCGTGGTAAAACGTCCCTGGCGATGGATAGCACCTGGTGGCATGAGTAGTCATAAGCACCGTTTTCTGCCCTGAGTACTTTTCCCTTCGAATGATCGCCTGGTGCTGCCACGATGGGCCTGTAGCCGCGCCCATGTGGAAGGGAGGATGCACGAGCGCGTGTAGCTGCGACTGCTGCTGGGTGTGAGCCTTTTCAGCTCGAGAACTTACACCCTATCTATGTTTTGAACATCAAACACATCCATTGAATGCAAGTGAAACTTGAAGTTTAAATGATGGTCGGAATCACAAAGAAAGCCGTCTGATCAGACCTGTCCACGGAACTTCCCACTCAAAACTTCAAGAGTCCAGCCCCCAGAAAAGACTGGCTCGACATCATCAGCCCAGCTCTGTACGAAGAAAGCAGAGGCGTAATAAGAGTACGAAATCAACAAGCTGCTGCCTTCGTCCCCAGGCCTCAGAGCGGGAGGAGCCGTTTTGATATGCCAAGAACTCTCGTCAATCTGAGAGGTACCTGTTGTCACTACAAAACGACAGTCGTGGCCCCATTGCGTTCATGTCGTCGAAGCCAGACAAAGCCAGTTCTTCTAGGTTCGGTACAACCGTAGAGGCATGCATGCAGCGTCACTCTTGTGGGCTCGTAATGTCGTCAGGACGGACTACTCAAATGCCTGGTCATTAGAGGCCAGTTTCTTTCAATGCCCAGCAGCTTCTGTGTAAACCACGAGTGACGTTGTTCGTCTTAAGCGTTGAAGTGATCTTGCTGTTGTTTCGTCCATTTGCGTAAGTAAGTCCACTTGCCATTCGAGATGTTCTGCCTTCATGTATACTGCACGAGACTGCTTCTTCTTCCTGAGACAGGAGTGGCTCTGATAGACTCTGAATCTGCCTACCTGCCTGATCTGCCACTGAACAAAGTGGCCCTGTTCCGCTATACCGGATATGGATGGGCTTGGCCTAACCCAATCCACCAACATTGCATGATCGAAGAGCAACCAGAGTGCGGAGTAGTTTTTCTGTCGTCCCCAGCTGGTCGCAAAGTGCAGCATGAACTGCCCCTCCGAGGCTTTGAATTCAGACAGACAACACCATCGTCCTCGTCCACCGTCGGGTTTGTAGCTTGCTGCGGCCTACGCTAACCAGCTTCCAGAACATCCAGCACTGTCTCCAACCGATCTTCCTTATTGCCTCATATTTCTCGAATTCTTGGCCGAGCTCGCTCACGATCTTCTCCATGGTCGGCTCTGGGAGCCCGTCATTCGGACCGTCATTTCCCCCCCAACATGGCCTCTAGTTCGGTCAATAACAAACAGTCGAAGACGCACACTCGCATGGTGCAGCCCGCGTTACCACTGGCCCTGGGGTCGAGGCCTCGAAAGGGTAAACCTGTCGCAGTTCAGCCTGACCCCGGGTCTGAGGTGGTTGACTCAGAGCCCACACCCCCAACCCATGTCAATGGTGGAGTCCCTGATACAGAGACGCAGTCTGTTGCGGAGGGTCCTAGTACTGAGGTGCATGAAGACACGAGTTCTCAGCGGAAAGAAAGTCCTCCCGTCGCAGGTTGGTACACCAGGTCTGATCCTGCGATTTGGCTGACGTATTGCAGGAAAATCACAACCAGTCACCCCGCGCAGCGCTCCACCTGAGGAACTTGCAACTTACTCTGAAAGTCCTGTTGTAGAAGAAAAAGAGGTGGATAATACCTTGACTAGTCAGGATGTCGAGACTAATGTCGGACATGGACCAGTGGCCGAAGCAGCAAACAATCACACAGCAGATGACAGCGGTCAAATTTCTGTCCAAGAGCCAGAGGGAGAACAAGAAAACAGCGTCGAAACGAACGGCCACTTTCCAGATCCTACCAATGGTCCAGTCGAAGACGCTCGCGATGAAGAGCCAGCAGTCCCCTCTGGTCCTCAACCCTCCGAAAAGACCGACAAATCTCCCTCTACACCTCTCTATGTGAATGGAACCGGCTCATCAGGCTCCACGCCGACAGAGAATGAGGTCTTTCCACCACAGCAGGAACTGCCCAACCATGATGAGCCGCTCAATCGTACTGACGAGAGCGCGCGAGCTGATTCTACTGCGGAGGCCATTCGCGAACGAGGAATGAATGGTTACCATCAATCAGCAACCACTGCGTTTGTTCAGCCTGCGACCGTGTCACGGTCATTTAACGCTCTTCCCTCACTTCAAGAGCATTTGCTTCTGCTCAACGCGACGAAAGAAGGTGTCGACATCCTCATCCAGATCAACCCGAGCAACGCGCAGCCTTTTGTCAGCTACGCGCACTCAGTCATTCTCTTCCGCAGCCTACGTCTACGAAGGCTGGTGACCCGTCAACAACAAGCTAATCACAATTATGGCAGCAACGTTTTAACCCTTTATCCAGCTCGCTATGTCATGCCACATGCCTTTGAGGCGGCGTTACGTTTCCTCTACTCTGACACAGTTCTGGGAAAGGACTTTTTTGCCCAACCGCACCCTGGCGGAGACTACCAGTCTATCAGAGTCCACAACCTCGACTATCTCCTGTCATATTGGGTTTCTGGTATCGAACTTGGTCTTGAGCCAGTCTCTATCTGTGCAGAACGACTTCTGAACAACTACCTGGACTGGGATATTCTTGAGATCACTTACAAGTATGCAATGGAGCTTGCCAGCTCGCCTTCCTCGTCCCACGGCAAGGCCATGACCGGCTCCGATTACATCGTTGCCAGCAGCTCCATTGTTAAGCAGATCCTTCAGTTCTTGGCCAATCATATCGACATCAAGAATTTCAAGCTGGTCACTGCCTTGAACCACACCCTAGTCCCTTCACGTCTCCCCCAAGTTGAAGACGGTCGTCCTAAGCACAACCCAGCACTAGCCTCTATGGTGTTTGGCTCCATGCCATCATCTGCGGATATGTCACCATCTTCGCCACAGTCTGAGATCCTCCCTACCGGATCCAATTTCAAAGACACCGTCGCCTCGAACATTTTGCTGAATGTCGATTTCGAAAATCTCTTCGCGTTCAACAACTTTATCCAAGCACCCACCATCCGAGATGCTGCAACCACCAAACTCATGGTTGATGTGGTCACCGAACGCGAACTCCGCCGCCAGAGAATCCACGACTCCCGCGTCCCCAACAAAGAACGCATGGCGAATTCGGCAGCGTGGGAACCGGTCGGCATCAAAGAGCTGATCCTGGAAACCAACGTGCTTCACCGCGACCGTGTAGGTTTCTTGGTTTCATCCAAATGGGCAGAAAATGAGGCAAAAGTGAGGACGTAATGAGAAAACCAAAAATGCATGGAACATGGGCTATGATAGCGTTACAGCGGGCGGGCTCGTTCATGTGTGTACCTATGATCTGTTGTTCGAGCATAGCAAGGGGGATCTCTCAAAATGGCTGGTTCGGCAATAATTGGGGTGGTTAGAAAATGTGTACGACCGTGGGAGTTTCTTGAGCTAGGCGGCCGCTTGGATGAGACACAACCTGAGAAGAGGATACCTGGGAGCTGGCTATTCCACGTTAATGCAACGGCGAGCGAAAGGTGAAGATCATGTCGAGTCTCAGTCCATTTATGATCGCTCTCAAGAGCGAAATGTCGGTCCCGAGTTTGAGCCTGACGGCGTGCCCGAGACTATATCGACGGCGTCTTGATCAGCATGCATGTCTTCATCGTAAGAACCGACGTGAAAAGGTCCTGCCTCATCCTGCGCTCCTCTGCTCCTTGCACTTGGGCCTCCTGCACGACCGCCAAACCCCGCGCGCCGCGAGATTTTGGCCGACCCGGCCGCAACGCCGTGAGTCTGTCCTCGATCATGGCGTCCCAGCGGCACAAAGGTATGCCGGTCTCGCAATCGATCAACCCACGGTTTCACGGCGGCCCAAGCCAGGAGTCCCGCCGTGGCGAAGATGAATATCACGACCACGGTCTCATCTTTGATGGAATCGCGCTCTATGCCAACACCATCAGTGATTTTGCACCGTAGAAAGAGAGGCCAGGGTCAGACGCACGGAAACATGTCGTGAAAACATCCTCATCCCTTGCATTCTTGCATATGGGTAGGTTGTAATCCAGGCAGAAAGCGCGGGTGCAGTCTGCGCAAGTGAGTTTGCGGTGTGGTCTTTTAGAGTCTCCGCCCGAGTCGGAGGGATCGCCGTCTGGCGAAGGATGGGGCGAGCGGATGTCGAGGTTGTGTAGTGAGGCGGCGCTTGTGCTGGAGGGAGGGGGGTTGAGCGCGATTATGGTGCTGTTATTGAAGCAGATGCACTTGCAGAAGGATGTAGCTGTTGACTTCGCGCATGTGGATGGACCGATCAGAGTCAGAAGGAGCGTGAGGACGGCCGGAAGGATTGTGAACAGATGCATGGTCGTTTGGATGAGGCGGGCACAAGCCTCGTGACGGCTTTCTAGTTTCGGAGGAGTGGTGTTGAGGCTGGACTGTACTGAGTAGTCGAGGGGTGTCCGATAATGCACCTGGAAGTAGATATGGTCAGATGTAGAACCCGCGGGTGGAGCAATTGGGCCAGGAGTGCTCTTTCACGTGCCACCTGCTTCGATCAAGCCGAGGCTTCTCACCTGAACAACACATCTACACAGGGTTGGTGGTTGTTGTCATCGACCGCACAGGAGATTTGTTCAATTTCCATCGCGTCGTGAGTTTGAAGAAAGCAGAAGGCGGTGTGCGATGGTCTCTTGAAATTGACGGAAGGTTCTGACGAGCTTGCATCGCCATTAGAGTGTGTGCCACCTGCAGTCGATGAGAGTCGCTCAAAGAGACAGAAGCCCAGTATGACGATCGATCAGCTTCCCATCCGCTTGATCGTGAACGAGAGGGAGTACGCATTGATTCGGAGGCTGATCTCAAAAAGCCTGTCCGCTCAGCCTGGTACCACTACCAAGCGGAGCAAGCTTCACGATGGCGAATTAAGCTCAGAGATCCAGTACGACGACCACAAGGCTGCAGCATTCCGCTCAGCATCGCGGGTGTTCGTGGTCACATATGGAACCCTTAGGACAGTTGGAGCGGTCCTCGACCGTCTTGCAACACGAAGATCTCAAACGGCAACTCGGTCTCGAAAACCGCTTGTCGCATCCCATTTAAGGATGGCACTATCATTGTCATCTCTGCTCTTCTTCCACGCAACACTCTATCGCATCTTCGTCCGACTGAGACTGCAACTTTTACATGAAAAAGTCCGCAGCATCAAAGAACGGTATCCGAGGATATACGCCGTCCTCACTTCCCGCATTGCACCGGCAATTGGAGCCAGTCTGTCCGGGCTTGCGCTGGGAATCTGTCCAGCCGACCAACTCAGAATGACGATAACAATCTACGTGGGTTGCCGCGCTTTGGAGATTGGATACGCCGCTATTGAACACACGAAGCTCATCCAAAGCAAGCCGTCTTGGGTGGGAAGCTGGATCTTGTTCGCTCTCGCACAAGGTCAACTGCTGCATGCCCTGGTCTTCGATCGCGACTGCTTCCCCGAGGCATACAGATCTTTCGTCATTGGGTATACGCCAGAGTATATCCAGCGTCCACCACCGAATCTCTCCGTCAGGGTGACCTGGCCGACGCCCGATAGCATTGTAGATGCTCTAGCACAGATGGCACGTCTGAGGTGGCCACCCTTCGTCTCGCCAATCCTGCATCCCAAGATGGCCAACACCCTACCGGCAAGCATTGACCCTATCATCTCGCCCATCACCTCACGAGCACATCCAGGCATTCAGAACTTATCGTGCGCTCTACTTCACCCGTCAGATCCGTCCTGCTTCCTGGCCTACCTGCGGCAAATGCTATTGTCCTTTCCAGAGATTGCGAAGTTCTTCACCAAATACTATGGAGCACTTGCATTATTGCGATTCAAGAAAGTTCTCGAAGCGCCAATGGCCAGCTTGAATCGTCTGTCAGAATCCATTTTGAGGTCGACGATTGCGGTGGCGGGCTCCATCGGTGCATCCTGGGGCACGATATGTCTGTTCCAGAACATCTTACCCCGTGCCTTCCTGCCGAAGTTCCGATTCTTCTTGGGCGGGCTGTTGGGAGGACTATTCCAGCTGTTTGATCGCACAGAAGCCGGACATGCCAATTCTTTATATGCTGCGAGGATGAGCGTCGATTCATTGTGGAAGGTTGGTATTAAGCATCGATGGTGGAAGGGTATCAGAGGCGGAGATGTGTGGGTTTTCGTGGCCTCGCTGGCTCTGGTCAACGTCGTCTATGACTTGGGCAAAAGTACCTCAGCAGGGCAGGACCGAGCTCTGTCGCTTATCAAGGTGCTCAGAGGTGAGGTTGAGCTCGGTTTGCGCGAAAAACCTGAGACATCCACCGAAGCGACCATGACGGAAGAAAAGGCTACAAAAACCTGATATACAGGCCGTCTATAGAATCCTCTGTTCCAGGGAAATTGTCGCCAGTGTCAGTAAACGATTTGGCTCTCCGTCTGGTTCCGGTACACTTTGAGACTCTCGACCTTGTCCATTTCATTTGGCAATCGGAACCTCTGACAAGTGCTCATTTCTCCATCCACTGCCTCCCCGTTCCGACGTGACAAAGGCTGGAAGTATGCCCTCATGGCAATGGCATAGGACACTGTGAGCGTACGAGTACTCCGTACTCCGTAAGTCCTTTACAAGATTGGCTCTGGAAGGTGACATGGGACACCAGGGCGAGGACGAAGAGGCTGGGGACCACCGCGGAAGGCTTTCAGCAGCCGATAAGCTAGGCAGTCGGGGGTATAGCTGCCCCGTACCGGCTCTCGGCTGGCTTGTGCTAGGGGAGCGCGGGAGGGGGTCTGGCCATAGAGAATGGCTCTTTCTGCCAGCAGTATCGAATGCTCCCCAGTGTGCCCAGACGCAGGTCCCTCTGACGTCTTCCACGCTGTTGCCAAAACATGCCGATTTACCATCTTTCGGCAGATTCACCCACATCGTACAATGAGACCCTGACCTGCTCACATCCATCCATGAACGTCCGTCTTTCCACTTGATATTCAAGATGGCGAGCTGTCAGCAAGAGCATGACGCACTGCTAGATTTCTTGCTTTTGCCGCAGCGGCCAGCTGTCCCATCCGTGCTTGGGATCACTCTCAGTCGTCTCGCGCAGCAGATCAATATCCCATGACCCAAGCACAACAGGCACGTCTAAGGGTCTTTTATGCAGCACTTGCTTCTGTACCTGCTTCTGGACGAGCCTCGACCGCGGCGATCATGTTAGGTGGGAAGCAATTAGGGCTAGTCGTTCCTTTTGGTCATTCCGTAATGAATACTCCGTACCACAGTCCTAAACCAGCTTCCTCATCCCAGTGAACAGCATACCAAGCGAGCCATGTATCGATTTCCAGCAAATCAGAGATATGCGTCGACCTCCGAAAGCCCGTCATCTCCGCCGGGCTTGTCTGATATGGCCAATGACACTCGGTGATGCTGTTCACCGCCCGGCACCACAAGCGGTGAGGAAGCCTGCATTTGACTTTCACACCGCACACATGCCGCCCGAGTCCCTTAACGCCACTGCCCTCACAGTTAGCCGTGACCAAGGAAACATTACCCACGAAGGGAGAAGCAGGAAATGGCATCTGTGTGAATCTCGATTGCAGTTCCACATGTATATCCTTTCCACTTGCGCTGGTTTCCTGAAGTCGGCCGCACCCATTGAATGCGGATCGGTCTTCCGACGCGGGTTGGCTGGATGACTGCCAATTTTTCAACGCCTCCACTTCACCATCGTGTACCCGAACTGCGCAGCCGTTCTGTTCTGAAACCGTTCACTTTCATTTCACTTTAGATCTATCACACCACTCTACTCCGTACCTTTCTACTATCTGTTGAAGCCGTCATCCAACTTGAGTCGTTCATACCGATTCTTTGCCGTGCGAGCATTTGCGTCTGTCCAGCTTACACTCTCGCCGTCGTCGTTCCGTCTATCGCCTTGCATTGACTGACTAGGGCTGAGAATCCAAACCGGAAACTGCAGTGAGGAGGACTGGTCGTAAGAGATCGGGCTTGCTCAAAAAGATGAGACTTACACGGTCAAAGAATCGCTCTTCTTCCACGGACGACTCCTTTCCCACGGGACAATTCCTCATAATCGGTGAGTTCAATCTCCCCATTACCACGCTCACGCATACCGTTTGGTGACTGACCACTTGCCAGCAATATGTCGTCTCGCCGAGCCGATCGCCGTCACGGCCATTTTCCCCTACGCCTGGATCATGACCAAGCAATTTGGCATGCCTGATCCTTCCTTCTGGGCTGGCATTCTTATAGCCTCCTTCTCATTCTCCGAGGCACTCTGCTCGCTGCTATGGGGAGGACTCTCCGACCGAATCGGCCGAAGGCCAGTCCTTCTTCTGGGCTGCTTTGGAACCATGATATCGCTCCTGATCGTCGGATTCTCTACGAGCTTCACAATGGCTCTTGTCGGACGGGTCTTTGGCGGCGTGCTTAACGGAAACATTGGTATGCGTCTCAAGAGCGTACAGAAGAGAACATGGCTGATACAATGATAGGCGTTATACAAACCGTGGTTGGAGAACTCACTACCAAACCAGAATGGGAACCCAAGGCGTATGCCGTTGTGCCCTTCATCTGGGCTATCGGCACCATTATTGGGCCGGCGATTGGTGGCATTCTCGTAAATCCGGCAGTCTCTTACCCAGACCACTTCTCCAAAGACGGGTTGTTCGGTCGGTTTCCTTATCTGCTTCCCAATCTTGTATGCGCTTTCTTTATGCTCATCAGCATGGTGAGCGCCTACGTCTGGTTGAGGGAGACACACCCAGATCTCCAGAACAACGGCACACAAGCCCGCCGGGGTAGCTTCTACCAAAGCGTCACCGAGCAGACCCCGGTCATCAGCGCGGGAGGTGCGACTGCCGACAACGCTGTCGATCTGAACTCGGACTCATACGGGACGTTTAACGGAGTCGATGTTCAAAAGAACGAGCAATGGCGACTGAATGAAGATGGAACCTCTCGAGAACCGTCGATCAGCGACAAAGGCGCGGGCAAGTGGCTCACGAGAAAGATTGTCATGCTCACTCTGGCTCTGTCGATCTACACATACCACTCGATGTGTTATGATCATCTCCTTCCCATCTTCTACCAGGACAAGGCCGCCAAAGATGTTACGATCTTGGCTGCCAGCCCATTTGATATCCGGGGCGGACTAGGATTGTCCACCAAGTCTGTTGGAGTAATCATGTCGGTCAACGGTGTCATTGCTCTTTTCATCCAGGCTGTCATTTTTCCCTTTGTCGCCGAACGCCTCGGCACTTGGCGAGTTTTTGTTCTCGTAACGGTGTTACACCCAGTTGCATTCTTCATTGTGCCATACCTGGCATTCCTCCCCTCGACTCTCCTCTACCCTGGCATCTACACCTGCCTCACGATTCGAAACTTCCTCTCGATTCTCGATTATCCCGTGCTCCTAATCCTACTCAAGCAAGCGAGCCCTTCTCCCGCCTACCTTGGGCGCATCAATGGTCTTGCTGCTTCAGCTGGCGCGGCTTGCAGATGTGTGGCGCCTCCTATCGCGGGGATTCTTTATGAATGGGGTTCAAACATTGGCTTCACTGGTCTGGCATGGTGGGCAGCTGGATTTGTTGCGATTATTGGCGTTTTCCAGTTGTACTTCGTGCCAAGACCCGCGAACGGAACAACTGTGTACAAGTCGATGGTTCCTTGTCTTGAGGACCCCGCGGAAAATAGGATTTCGGACGTGGTTGACATCACCGTCGTTGACGACGAAGATTAAGCTCACTTTCGGTTTCGGCTCGTTTGTGGAGAATGATACCCACTTGGTTTACGGGACTGGCGTGGAATTTCATGCGGGCGCTTACAGATGAGGACACAATCTGATGCTGACCTGGGACTCGGGTGTGGGCACATGTGTACAAACGTTCATGGGGCGTTCAACATTGCCGAAGTTTTGGGATGGCGTTGACAGATGGATACGGCTGCTTCTGGGGACAGTACCGACTACGATGCATGAGACAATGAGAAACGCGCCATGGGGACGGTACGGCGTATGCTGGCAATAGAATTGTCAAACCGTCTGCGATTCAGCTAGGGCATAGAGGTTGACGGTGTCCTGAGAAGCATTACAGGCGCAACAACGAAATGATGTTAAACCTTCAATATAGTATTGTGCTAGTACACCCGGGAGTAGTTGCTCACAGATGGTGAAGAACGTGTGACAGTTGTACTGTGTAGCCACGTACGTTACGGATCGGCATACCTCTAGCAGACAAGAGCACTGTATCACATCACGACAAATCGGGCTGTTACAGTAGGTGGCTGTTCGCGCGGTCTTGGAACCGCAGACATTGTCAGACGTCAAGCTGTGAACACGAACATGCCAACCGAAGTCGAGGAGCACTGAGAAAGTGATGGGCATCACATCTACACTATTCGTCCGACGGGCGCGATATTGTCATTGCTTGAGCAATGCTAGCGCCAGGGCTGTGGCCAAGTTTCAGGCACCTTTTTCCAGGTTCCTCAAACACCAACCGACACGAAATCTCAATCCAGCGAGTTGCGACTGGAAACGTTGTCGATCCGGCGAGCAGAGCCACGATCCATCGGATATCAATGGTTGTCCCCTGGTATGTACACTCTGCAACACGCCGTCACCCTGCATTGGAATCGTATCCTTCCAACAATAGCCCACAGTTTGTTTTGGCCTGAGCCGCGCGAGCCACCCATCAGTATCATACTACGGCCTGTCAAGCCGATAACGTGATGTTCTATCAGGAAAGTATCGACGCAATGCCTTTACCATCCTTGCTTGCCACGTTCGGCGCTTTCTTGCACTGCCGCGATCGTTGATAAAGTTGCCTATGCCCTCCGTGACCCTCATCAGACGTCCTGGATTCCCCTGGCTTGTCAATGCCTAGGACCTCCAGTAACAGTCCTTCCACCATTGAGTCGCATCAACGCCATGTCCACCGGGTTTGGGAAGAGAAGGGAGAGCCCGCAGACAGTTCTTCCGTCGCTCACCACGGTACACTCGGACGATGGTCGCCGTCACGGGGAACCTGAAGCCGTCCAGCGCGCCGAGACCGCTCCCATTCATGGAGGGAAGCCTTCGAACTCTCTCAAGCGAAAGGATTCGGCCAAACCCAGCGTCTTGAGCCGTTCCGACACACACGTGTCCAAGCGGCCTTTGGTCCGGGTTCCGTCTGTTCAGACACGATATATGGAGATGCTACTTCACCTTGATGAGATACCTCGATTTTACAACATCTTGGCTAGTTTGTTTACCTGGATCATCCTTGCTGGCTTCCTCGTCGTACCGGGCACGTTCACGACCTTTAAGGAGTCGGAAGCGTTTCAAGACGCCGACAACAACGATGACGACGAGGTCACTCATGCCATCGTCCATTCCATTGCCAACATCGGGCTTCTCTGGCTCTCTGGGGCTTTCTGCATTGTTGGAGCGTTAGGGTGTCTTGCGCTGTGGTTTCGTTGGCGTGAGAACTACGTCTGGCTGATCAACAGGGTCTTTCTGTATGATCTTTCCGCTGCAAGAAATTCGCCCAACTAACCAGTGCTCGATAGGCCCGTCGCCATGAACTCCGTCGCTGGTCTCGTAACCACCTTGGTCAATATCTACACTGCACAGCATGGTGTGTGGAGTATAACAGCAAGGATCACTGCTATCGTAATAGGAGCTTGCATGATTGTTGCTGGATTGCTTTTCGCTCTGTACAATTTTTGGGCACTACGTCGAGTTCGCAAGACACACGAGAGGCAGATGGGATTGGAAGCCCAACACCACGGTGAGACTCTGGTCGAAAAGGTGAAGAGGAAGGCCCATGAGCCGCCGTTGCAGTCGGGAAGCGTTGTCTAAGAGCAATGATCTCGGGTCTGGTAGACAGCACGATGCCGAAGTCCCCAAACTCGCTCGCGCCTGCCTGCGCCTCCTGATTCATCATTCTCCCTCGTGCTTGTCGCAGCTTCGCCCGCAGCGGCACCGGAAAGAGCAGTTCGAGGTGTCCGCGTCAGCATCAAGTTGACTTCAGCACTCAATCCTGTCTGCACCATACACACTTCTCTTACCATTTCTTCCCTAAGCATTGGCCTTTTCCTCTATTTTACCGCTGTTCAGATTGTTTATGCCTATCATCACCTCGTCCTCCACGAAAACAATGGTCGGCAAGTCCATACGCCAGAAACGCAAAGTGAGGCACCGCAGTCAGAGCCTCAGTTCTCCGACAATATTACTGAAGGGCCCCAATCGACGTGCACCAAAGCGACGAAAGCTTCGTGACAGTGACTCACAGAACGTGGAAGGCTGTTATTACGCTTGTGAGGACCAAGGCTATCACGTCGATCCAGACGTCCACGTTGGTCGTGAGGCTGTCCTCAAGGGTTTGTCGATCTGTACTTCACCTTGACCTTGGGTTAATATGAATGCAGGAAACAAGTACTGGCCCTTAGATAAAGACGTCACAGACCCAACAGTGAATATCGCAGAGTCGCCGCCCTTCGCTGGACTCCCTGAACCTCTGCCTGGCCCAGACACCAAGAGAGGCTCGGTCATCGTCAAGAGAATGCAGCTACATGGCAGTCCTCAATTGGACCTCCTCACCGGGTCTGTCTCCCTGCCGGAGCCCTCGCTTCCCACGACACCTGACGCCACACCTAGAGTCAAGATGCCTTATGGGGATGAGCCGTCTTCTACGAACAATAGTCCTTCACGATGCAGTTCTGGCTACACCGGTAGCCTCGAATTCCCAAGTCCTTTGTTTTACCATGATGCGCAACACGGATATATCCCTCCCTCGGACACTGTCCACCCAGCCTGGGGAATTCCGTATTTCGAGTACGCGTGTGGCCAGGCCCAACCAGAGCCGGATTTCGTCAGCTACCGGTCCATGCCGGCTGCTCCTCAGACAAGACCTCCGCTTTTCGAGCGTCAGGAGAGTCTAGGCCTGGCGCTTTGTGCCCCTGCGTCGTCAAAACATAGGCTAGAAGAAAGCTGCATCTCAGATGAGAGCCATGACACTTCCACACATGGTTGTCCATTGCCTCCACTGTTGGACTGCTCGGACTGCGGGGAGACGCAGGTCACCCTTCCCTGCGGTCCAAGCAATACAGACAGCGTCGTCGACTGGCAACCAAACATCTCTAACGATCCCGAATGGCCATCAACTGGGGATTTCGTGGCACGCAGGTGCTTCTACCACGTAGTAGATCGACCCTATCAGCCTCTCAGCACAGATTTTGACCTGGACGATCCAGAACCGTCATATTCTGGCGATTTCGTGGCGCGCAGACGTTTCTACCACGTGGTAGACCGGCCACTTTATTTCCCTGGCACGGGTGATAACCTGGTCGATCCCGGGCCGTCATGCACCGGGGATTTCGTGGAACGCAGCGCTTCTATCACGCGGTAGACCGGCCCTGTGTATATCCCAGCATGGGCGACAACCTGATCTATCCAACTCTTCCGACCCTGGGCTATGCTCCACATATGTTAGCAGCGAATTGCAGCATCAACGACGCTGTTCAAGCTTGGAGCAACGAGTCAGCAGCGTGTTGGGGGCCTCCTACGCGAACGTCACGGATGCTCACGGGCCCTGACGATCACATCATAGTTGCTCCTCCGGCTATGGTTCGAATATTTCCCAGTCCGAACAGTTATACTACGGAAACTCTGGAAAACGTCTATGATCACGGACGTAGCGAACCTGTCTCCTCGAATGTACACATTGCCCCGGGAGTCCAAGGCCCCCTGCCTGTGTGTATGGATGTTGTCCCAGCTCGACTATACCATCACCAATACATCGCGTGGCCTGCAGCTATGCCGGCTGCCGCTCCTATCTCAGAAGCGGCTGTTTCTACGAACATCGAAGATGCCCCCAAGGACTCCGAGAATGTACAGAAGCTGTTCGACTGGTTGGGTGAGTTGAACTCATCGGGAATCCCTGCAGAGGACAACAAGATCGTATCGGAGTCATTTCCCGATGGTGCAACCGAAGACGCTGGATATCAATGCTGTGAAGACATTCAAACGCCCGAATCCGAGTCCAGCGCGGGAGAGTGTACACCCTGGCCCAGGATTCTACACCCAGATGACGAGGCAGTACAGTGTTCCCGACATGATGAAGGATATGCCACTGCCAGCGACTATTGCTCAGAGGTCGAGCTTCAAAGCCAATGTGGGTCCGAAGACGGCTGGGTGTACTGGGATTGGGACGGTGAAACCGAAGATGAGGAAAAACCTGATCTCGATGCAGACTCCGTTAGGCAAAAGGCTGAGAGCACCAAGCCTGAAGAGGGAACCGAGCAGGCTAAGAACCAGCCGGCCACTCTGTGGGGCATTTTGCTGTGAGCAACACGGCGATTGATGTTTCGGGGGATATTGGGATCTGTGATGCTGATCGGTCCGCAAGCGGGGTCTGGATGGCATTGCCCCTGGGGACGGGATATGGCATCTCTGTATGGCACAGCACGCAGCATATCGAAGGCGGTTCCCGACTGTAAAACATGGCACTGGTAACTTGTCGAATTCCTAGCGTAATGATATCTATTTGCATGCGTTGTGTGGAAGTCCCAAATACGTCGTGATCGCGAGTCCAAGACCTCATCCCCATGCCTACGTTTGACCTAGGCTTCACGTCTACGCGACCAATAATGCTCGTGGATGGATGGGTGCCGAATCTTAGGCCTGCTCTCAACGTCCTCAAAATTCCTATGACTATTTCATGACCCTCGCCCCATCCTTTGTGTCCTCCCTCTCGAGAAACGACTCCACCTCGGCGGGAAGGTCATAGCCAAACAATTCCTCATTATACCTCTCCCAATCGCCGACGCCGAGTCGAGCGAGGCACCAACTCAGCCACGACCACGTCATGACCCAGAGGGAAAAGTACATGAGGTACTCCATCACGACGTTCATGTCGGACTTGAGACCCGCCATCTTCCGGGAGCGTTCGTGGACCTTGTGCACGCGGGGCGCGCGGAAGGCGTGATATGCGGCGAGGGCACGGGACAGGTCGTGAGTGTGGAATTGCAGTCTCAATCCGTTGCTGTCATTGTCATTTCCATTGTTATTGTTATTGTTATCGCCGGTGTCGGTGTCGGTGTCGGTGTTGGTGTCGCATTTAGACTCGGAGACGTCGACAGAAGGACGAACAAGAGAAGAAGCTGGAGCAGGAGCCGGAGGAGGAGGAGTACGGCTACAGCTACAGCCTGGGTCAGCTGATGCCGGTGTCGACGTCGAGATCGAGAGTGGCGCAGAAGGAGTAGCACGAGGAGTAAGCGCAGCCGCATCCGTAGCCAAAGCCGCACTACTACTGCTGCCGACGAGATACCGTCTCAGAAACAGGGCCAAGGCCTCGGCGTCCTCGAGCGCCTGGCATGCCCCCTGCCCGCTACTGGGCCGTAAGGCGTGCGCGGCGTCGCCGACGAGCACGGCCCGGCCGTTCTTCGTCCAGGTTGGCAGTTCCGGGGTGGTCCATGTCGGGTAGCATGCATCGAGGGCTCTGTCATTTGTGTTGGTGGTGGTGGCGGCGGCAGCAGCGCTGTGCTCGTGGGCAGGGACGTGTGTGCTGACGTATTTTAGGATGGCGGTCACTGTGGCGTTTTTCCACGTAGAGTGGCGGCCGAGGAGGGCCGCGAGGGCGAGGCTTTTGTCAAAGGTATGTGCTTGTGCTTGTGTTTGTGTTTGTGTTGGCGGTTGTGTTGGGACTGAATTTTGTGTGTCGCCTGTCCCGCGTACGCTGTGCGCGCTCTGTGTGTTGGCGTAAGTTCCAGAGTCAGACTTGGCGTAAGGGTATGGCGTCGGGCTGGAGAAGGTGGACCACCACACCGAGAGGGGGCCGATTGTTGGGTCTGCGTCCACACTCGATGTTGTATGTTCTGGGTGTGGTCCTGGTTCTGGTTGTCCTGAGCCTGATCCCGGAGTTGGTGGCGATAACGGCTGCTCCTCCTCGGCCACGGCGGCGACGGCGGAACTCAAGTACCCGTATCCGAAGAACCCGTTCGGGCCAAAGACGATCGCCATTGTGCCTGGCTTATGGCCTGCCGATTGAAGGACCGAGGAGGGGATGAATCCGCCTACGCCGACTAGGCCTTCGTAGTGGGGGGAGATAAAGTCTGGTTTTGTGACAGTGGGCGTTTTAGGTCGGGAGAATGGAAGGTACGCGTTCAGGACTTGGATCCAGCTTCTTTTCCTCGCACCAGCACCAGCACCATCACCGCTGCGTTGAGCTTGAGAAGCTTGATCCTCCCCCTGCCCTCGAAACATAGCCCTTCGTAAAACGCTCCTCAGGCCGTCCGCGCCGATGACCAGGTCGGCAAGTTCGCGACTTCCGTCCTCAAACGTGATGATATTAAGGCTTGTCTTGTCGCCGATCTCCACATCCGTGACCCTTTTCTTGGATATGGTATCTGGGGCGATGTCGAGGACGCGATCACGCAAGATTTCCCAGCACGATTGCCGCGCAATCATGATCCCGCGGTACAGGTCTGTCTGTTTGGTACCATCCCTCCCTTCCGTCATCTGGGCATCTGCATTCGGCGAGGCTGGCTCCCTGTTGTGTGCGCGTCTAAGCTTCACATCCACGATGGTAAAGCCCCGCGCTGTGCTGATTTGCCAGCAGTCGATGGGATGGCCGTGCGTGGCTAGTTGGTGCATGATAGATGGGCCTCGCTTTGACTTTAGTTTGTGTGAAGCCCCGGTTGGAATCTCGTCATCGTCATGGTCCTCAAGACGAGACAACACGCTCAGTCCATTCTTTGATATCCCAATGGCGGAGCCGATCGCCTGGGGCGTAAAGATTGGTTGAGTCTCGTCTGCGGGGAGGGTTGGGCCCTGCTCGCCCTTCACACCACCGGCAGACGTGTCGAATAGAGTGGCGTTGAATTTGGGGGCGTGGATGTCGTAGGCTTCGTAGATTTTGATCTCTATCTCATTGCCAATGTTTCTCTCGTGCTCAACCTCAGTGTGACGATCACGAAGAAGGTGCTTGCGCAGAAAGAGGTAGGTGCTCAGCCCCGAAATGCCAGCGCCAATGATTACGATTTTGACCATTGTACAGAGAGTACGGGTGATGGTTGTGGTGACTACTGGTGATTATAGTCGAAAGCAAGAAGCAGAGGTGGACACTCAATACAAAGGAGGACTTCCTGACTTACATGGCTTGTCTTTGCCTACCGCTGGGAGAGGGATATAGAGATGGATAGATATACACAATTTGGCCGAACGATTCCATGACGGGCCACCAGACAAAACTGGAAATGTCGGTGCCTGTTCCAGCGCGCCAACTCGTGGGTAGAATATTTTCCCTGGTAGGGATCCCTGTGATGAACAGCTCCCGCTCCATTGTTCGGCATCTAATTTGACATGAAATGCGGTGCTCACGGTTAGTGATGGTGCTGGAAATTGAATCAAGAAAATGTTGATGCCTGGGGCTGGTCAGTTCTGATTGGCCAAGTATCTGTCGCCTAACAAGCTTGGCATTCGATACGTCGGATTCATTCAGCCACTTCACTTTCTGTTCACTGACGCTTCAGTTTCGACTGAGCTATCCATCTCGGGTACTTGTTTTTCATGGTGCCATGCTACTACGCTCGCAGTGGCAGGTTGCGATATCCGTGTGACGCCCAACCGCACTCTGACATAGCATGTCTGGGCCTGAAAATGCCGTACCCTACCTCCGAAACGGCGGCTCGTCTGGAAGACTTTTGAACATTTTGCTAGGGCGAAGGAATAAATCTTGCTTGCTGCATGCTGCACTTCAAATCATCGGACAACAGGCCATCCTATGAAGCGCTTTCGTACACTTCGAGCAAGAGCGACGATGACCTTTTAATCCACATTAAAGGCTCGAAAGACGTGTGTGGAGAAACCTATGGAAGTTTCTCCCACACGTACGATTGGAGGACGCGGACGGCAAGGTCTGGGTTGACGCTCCGCGTACACGGCAGGGACTCGCCCGATGAGAAGAAGTCAGGGAAGATTTGGCGCTTCCATTTGACCTTCCGGAGTTCTGAGCGGGTAATAGTCTGGCTCGGACTTGCGGCCTGCGATAGCGATGTGTTGATCGAGGATTTCATCCTACGCAACTTGAAAGCCTCCATTAGTTTCTGTCGTCGATGGGAGAGAGAGACCGTACCGATATATCCATGAGAGGTCTGTAATTCTTGCGCACGTGCTGAAAGTCTCACGTCCAGAGACCGTATTGGCAGAGAACGTGGATCGTGCAGGAGGTCGAACTTGCAACGCAGATCAGCCCCGTGTGTGGAGACTCCGTGTTCATGTTCAACGGTAGTCAGCTCCATCTCCGACACCAGTCTCTCAGGACAACCAGGGATCAAGTTAGGTTGGGGCGAGAGAGGCTCGAAGGTCCCATTCCAACAGCAGCATGTGGTACCGGTCAGCGCCTCGGTGGCTGGACGTAATCTCAACATACCATCCGAGTACATGGATGCCCGGGGCATGAGGGCTCTGCGGATGAGGACTCTCTTTCAGCTTTTCGCTAACGTGTAGACGTTAGGGGCAAGATCTACGCCCTGCCGAAGATGCTCCTCTCGCCGGCGCACGAGGCTCCAACTTTCCCCTTCGTGGATGTGGACTACGAAGCGACCAGAGAGTGTGTATTCCCCCGAACATTGAAGGCCTGGAAATATGTCCTCTCGCTCTTGGATTTGGAGATCGCGTTGGATATCCTTCGCTTGAAATGGGACGGAATGCGCCCACATGTCTTGTTTCTTGCTACAATGGGTCCAACCCAGCGCGAGGGAGCGATGTATCGAAACACCAAGGACACTGGTCTTCTCGTCGAATGGAGAGAGCCCAAGAGATATTCTTCAAGATATAAAAGACCGCAATCCATTGGCAGGCTCGGATTTGTTTCCGCCTCACGTTCCCCAATGGCAGTGGATACGGTCTGGGGATGAACAGGAAGCGCCGCACGGGGTTGTCAAGCCCTCCAATATCAAATATGCGGACGACCAGGTGGCTAACGGGCGCGGAAGGCTGACCTTGTCGAGTGGACGCAACCACTGTCATCAGGAGGGGTGCATTGTGTAGTCGACGGGGAGATGCACCTGTGCTCGACTTGTCAATTGGTGTACAGCAGACTATCGACAGCCACCCCTGAAGACACAGGTAATTGCAACCCGTGTGCAGCTCAGGCATGGTACCCAGCACTGCCTCTGCATACATTTGACATCATCTACGGCCCTCTGGTGGTGGTACGCCATCCTCTGGCCCTGTCCCCATGATTCGCTTTGCCTGTTCCTCTCCTACCGGAGCATTGTCGCCGCTGTCTCCGCGAAACTTCAGTCTGCTGATGGCATTCGACAGTCTCCCTGTCAGACTGCGCTTGGCTTTGCGTTCCCGTACTTCCCGTTCCTCAGCTTCACGCTGCTTTTTCAGGTACAGCCTCTCTGTTTCCGCGCTCTGAGACTTGTCACGCTGCGCCTCTTCCTCCATTCTAACCTTATCAGGATCAAGTAGTTTGTCCTTTTCATGGACTACCGAATCTTCTGCGCATTTTAACTGTTTGCGTGCCTTGGTGTATGTCTCAAGGCCGACCAACACAGCGTAGCTTCGGGATATCGATACATGTGACATGTCTGCACCTGCGTCGCGCAAGCTGTGCACAAAGGCTCGAAAGTTGGCTGCTGGGGGCCGGTAATGTCCGCTCAGAGGCGACAGTCTTCTCAACTGACCGTGCTTTACTTTGATCAGGCCTGCGGACAAGATGCGTGCCCCATGTAGAAACGACGAGTGTTGGAATGCACCTGATTGCTTGTATCCGATATACAATCGAAACGAGGTGTCAGCCACGAAGATCCATTTGTGACCCTTTTTGAGACTGGTTCTTATCATGTGGTTGAAGAGCACTCCTGCGCTGACATGTTTTACCTTGGACAGGCCTCTGACTCTGTGGAACTGTGGATGTCAGCGGCGGACCGGAGTCCATCGTACGGATCGAGATCTACCTACCTCTTCATTCACATACCTTTGGCCTTCGTCCTCTTCTGTTTTGTCATCCTCATCGTCTGAGTCGTCCGAGGAGCTTGAGCTGGAGTCACTCCCACCAGCTGGCGGCGCGTTGTACTTCCACTGGGGTGAAGGATCATCAATCGGGACGATCCCATTGACACTGTCCTTGAAAAGCTCGTCCTTGGTCCACACGAGCTCACCGTTCTTCGCCCAGACGAGCAAACCCTGGGGATTGACCTTGACCAGGTACTGCAGGCGTTCTTCTCGCGATAGGTAGCGCACTTGCTCTTTGTCTAAGCGTGCTCGACTGCACTCGGGGAGTTCCACGGTCCTCCCATCGCCGTGGTCAAGCCAGTAGAAGTACGACTGATCTGTATCTTGCGTTTTCCAGTAGTTGTGGTATTTTCGGAGATTCGAACCATAGCGGTGCTTCTGATCAACCATCTCCAGAAAATATTGCAGGTCCATCATCTTGGCTGTCTTCTTCCGCACGGCATTGGCTTCGGCACGTCTCTTCCTCGTGGCTGCTTTCTCCTGCTGAGTAGGCATCGTTCCTAAGCCTTGGCCTTCTTCACTCATATCGCTCGAGGACAGATCTGACGCGGAGGGAGAACGGTCGTCGGCGCCCGCCCTGCGCGCAATCTCTGTCGCTCGAGTCCATTTCGCTCGTGCAGGCGAAGATGGGGCAGTCGTCCGGTCCCCTTCGGCATCGGGAGAGCCGCTCTCCCCACCTGGGCTGGGAGGTCTGGGTGTAGTGACTTGTTTGAATCGAGCATCTCGGACCGCCTATTGAGCGTACCTCAGTAGCGGTTGTGACGCGCATGCTCTCTCAGACTGACCTCGTACCACCTCGTAGAGGCATCAAGTCCGAATCCGTTCAGCTGGCGACGAGTACGGTGTCCTCGGTATGTTTTCTGGCGCTGGTCAACTGGTGATAGATTTTACGTGTACACGGTCGGACCTGAATTAGAACGGCAGCCTTTTTGGCCTCTTCAGCACTCAAGTCCGTACTCGGCTGGGAAGCCTCCTTTGTATGGTCACTAATGGCGTCATTTTCCATTGTTGGAGGACTTCATGGTGGCACACCCGACCGGGTGCTGGGTTGACGCATCTGCTTGTTTGGGCCACGCGGCCAGTGAATGAGAAGCACGGAGGGTCACGGCGCAAGGCTGAAAATTGGAGAAGCGACAAGGCTGTAAGTGGCGGTCTTCTCACTTACCCCGCAATCGATCAGAAGGTCTCGAGGTGGAAAGAACACCCTGCACGCATTATTGGTATGAGTTACGGGTTGAACCTCATTCGCCGGCTACTATGTGCGCCCTTTTCGAATCTGGATGACTCCTGTGGAATATCATTCCTCCTTCCAGAAGTCGATTTCAGTGGCCATGCATGGTCCCTCCAGCCGTGTGATGATAATCGCGAGCTCGGGCGTTATTGCACCGATTTTCAAGCGCGATCACCACGATCCCCAGTGTCTATCACCTCGTACTCAGTAGGTCGCGGAGCAGATGCCGATGGCGCATATGGGGGCGACGTGGGGGCCGAGCCAATTGTCCAAGCGTGCTATGGAAGCGATATGCGCATCTGTTGAGGTGTATGAGGATGTAGTAAATGCACGCGAGTTACACCAGCTGGCAGAACAGTCCTTTGTGATCAGAATAGCGTGATGTACTGGGGATTTGACAGATCACCATCATAATGTCTATTAACCATGTGCTTGTTACCGGCGCTACAGGTTTCCTTGGAGCCCATGTCGTTGACGAGCTGCTGGCGCGTGGGTTGCGAGTACGTGCTGCTGTTCGCAATCTGGCCAAGGCCAATGTCATGCGTGATGCAAGGCCACAGTATGCGTCGAAGCTTGACTTTGTCCAAGTTGCCGACTTCACAGCAAACATCTCTTTCGAGGAAGCTGTGAAGGACATCGATGGGATCATCCATGTGGCCAGCCCGTTGACGTTTGGCGTCGAAGACAATGAGAGAGACTTCCTCTTACCAGCCATTAATGGTGTGACATCGGTTCAGAAGGCAGCGGCTCAAGCTCCGCAGATTCGGAGGGTGGTTATCACTTCTTCGTTTGCCTCTGTCATTGATGTCGATCGGAAGGCCCCGCCACATTTCACCTACACCGCCGCCGATTGGAATCCTCTGACGTACGAGGAAGCAGCAGACAACAACACCTCCGAGGTTGTCGCATACCGCGGGTCAAAGAAGTTCGCAGAGCTCGCCGCATGGGACTTTGTTCAAAGAGAGAAGCCTGGCTTCGATATTGTCACCCTATGCCCTCCGTACGTGCATTCGTTGCCTTTCGTCTAACATATTTCTGACATCAGTGGCAGCATGATTTTTGGGCCTTTCGTCCATCCAGTTGCCAGGCTAGAAGAACTAAATGATAGCGCAGCTAAGCTATGGGAGGTGGCCTCTGGTGTCGACCCGATGCCGCTGGCAAGAGTTCCGTTCTGGATCGACGTTAGAGATCTCGCACAAGCACATGTTGAATCGCTTCTGAGACCGGAGGTGGGCAACAAACGTTTCACTATCGCATCGCCAGAGAGGTTTTCCTATCAGAAGGCAGCAGAGATCATCATCAAGGAATTCGACTGGGGACGTGATCGTGTCCACCTGCCTGACACGGAGCAAACAATCGATCAGTCGCACGATTTAGATGGGGAGACCGCTGCGAGGGAACTAGGCATCACATATCGGTCTTTCCACGACTCTGTTGTCGACTTCGTCAGCCAAGCACAAAGGCTCGAAGCATCACAGAAGGGTTAAATTGCCGGACCCAGTCCCGCTCGTATCTTTAGCACACTGAGGACTCGGAAAGGGCGAGTCAGAAGACCCAGTGCAGAAGGGCGAGAGCAGCAGGAATCAGCATGTACGAGGTCAGAAAGCACTGACTCGACGCTTTCTCCACCTTTCTTTGTCCTCGCTCCTTCACCTTCCTTTCAACCGTTTCTTTTCTTCTCACGAGACCCCGCGCCATCCGCTTGTTTCATCCAGCCACCCGACTGATACCCGCACCTGGGGAATTGATTCCCGCGGGCCTCGCGCTCAGTGGTCGAGTCTGGACAAGCCCTCGAAAACCAAAGCGTGTCTCGAAATCAGCTCCGGGCTCTCGGAAAGTGCCTACGCCGCTAGTCGGTCGTCTCGAAAACTTTGTCTCCATCAATGCGGGGACTGATCCCAGCTCGGTTTCCCCAACCATGCGGGAAAACTCTTCTTACTGGCTGCAGACCGCTTCTCAGGCGCCCCCAGGCTTGTCGAAAAACATCGTGTCGTGTCGATACCCGCCTAGTCGGCAATGAGAATCAATCATCTTCGAGACCGAAGTCGCTTGTATAGCCGAACACGCTCAGTCCACCTGCACAGCGGTGCGCGCTGACACTCGAAGAGAAGGATAAATCGGCACGGCCAAACGGCCGGAGCTCTGGTTGCTGGACGGAATAACTCCTAGCCCTCCTGCATAAGTCTTGTTGCGCGCTTGGATACACAATACCGGGATAGATTGCACAAGCCCGCTCACAGCCAGCCTCCGACTGCGGCCCTTTTTACTACAGTACGGAGTACTCGTCCTGAGTAGGCAAAGATAGGCCACAAGATCTCTGGCCCCTAGCGCAGATAGACCTCATTTCTTCCTGCATTTATCAATAACCGCCTCTGAAGGGAGTGAGACCCGCGCGACTTCTCTGCCACCCTGGGTGCGTCCTGCTTGTACAAGCAGAACATGTCGAAGAGATACGCTGTCTGTGATCTCGCTTATGCTCTCCTGTCGGACTGTGCCACTTTTTACACAGAAGGAGCCTGGGCTTCGTCCCCAAAAGCATACTATGTTAGGCGGAAGCGATGCCGTTGCCAATGCAGCTAGGATCCCTGCTCGTGGGGATAACTTCCCCTTCCTTCTCCACGTGTGGACTAGTGGGGGTTTTGCCTTCGAACTCTTCGAGCATGGCAGCCTATGGGATGGCGAGTGCTTGGAACCCTTCTCGTTTCTCGCAGCCTCTTGCCATTCCTCCCCTCAGCCACCCACTCTTTTGTTGAAGAAACTGACGCAAAACGCTGGGAGATGCCCGCCAAGGGAATGGATGATGCCGATGATAGCTTTTCGCTTCTCCACAGTCTCGAGCGACCCCGGTCCAGATCGCAAGTCCGTCCAATCGTTGCACGCCCGACACCTGCCTTTCCACCAAGCCGGGGTAGTCCGGGGTAGGGGTGAGGAACCTACTTTGAGCGTTCGTCCGCAGTGATGGGCCCAGGGTCGCGTCGGATCCGTTCAGCTTTTTCTCCATATCAGTACCCAGGACCCTCGCTCGAAGCCATGGCTTAGGTTGTCTTCCTGTCCGTTGAGCTGTTCGTACCTTTGATTGACATGATCTGTCTGACACGGCTATCCTTCAAATTCGAGCGCCCGCGACAACCTTCACTCTGTTCCGTAACTCGCTCTGAGAGACCATGGCTACCATGACGCCCCCCACCACTACCCAAACCTCGCCGAAGAGAAAGTCTTCGGCGGCAGGTCTATCCGCCGGAGGTAGAACTGTGAAGCGACGGGCTTCCAAAGCCTGCCACTGTTGCCGTGGGAGAAAGGTTCGCTGGTAAGCACTTTCTTCCCTGTGCTCGCTCCAGAGCAGCAACATTGCTTTAGCCATGGTGGCGACTAACCGCTGTTCGCAGTGACGTCGTCGAGAGTGGTATTCCATGCACCAACTGCAGATTGGACGAGGTGGAATGTGTCGTCACCGAAGGCAAGCGGCGGAGGAAAACATATTCAGAAGGGGAGCTCTTTCACCAGTCCCCGTGCAATTCGGCGGAAGACGAGAAGGAACTGCCACAATTTCCCATCTTCGACGACATTGACGAGCTCAACAACTTTCTGCCAAGCCTACCTTCCTGCGAGACAACCCGGTCGTTGAAAGGCTCGGAAGATGTGTTCCAGCATAAGCCGCATATGCTTTGTAAGTGTCCTCGATGGACTTCTCTGCAAACCCTGCCAACACATCTTTCTCTAGATCAAACGCAAGGACACCGCTTGAGCCAGGAGGAGCGGTTTCGACGGATGTCGGTAATCAGCAGCAAGCAACAGTCTCCGTCATTGTCTCTAGCCGCGACCATGTCTTATTTCCCCCAGCAGCCGAGCCGTCCAAATATTGTCCTCCCGCCATTTATTCGGCCCATATCCCCCATGATCATGACGGAAGATCTTGAGTTCCTGCAGAGGAAGGGAGCTCTCCTGATTCCGGAGACGGGCTTCCGAAACGAGTTACTCCGGTGTTACGTGCAATACGTGTACCCTTTTATGCCGATCATCGACCTCCAGGACTTCTTGGGCACCATCGAGAAGAACCAAGCCACGGATACCGTGAGCCTCTTGCTCTTTCAAGCTGTCATGTTCGCTGCAACTGCGTATATCGACATGCGCTATTTGCTCGCGCAAGGCTACATGACAAGAAAGGCTGCCAGAAAGTCTTTCTTCGAGAAGGTCAAACTCCTGTACGACTTTGACTACGAAGCTGACCGGATTACGATCGTGCAAGCCGCCTTGTTGATGACCTACTGGTACGAGAGTCCCGACGACCCAAAGGACGTCTGGCACTGGTTGGGCATCGCGACCTCCGTTGCGAGAACCATTGGGCTGAACTGCGACACGTCCAATGCTCCTCTCATGACGCCTCAACAGCGTCGACTGTGGAAACGCATATGGTGGTCATGTTATATGCGAGACCGATTGATTGCCATTGGCATGCGGCGTCCCATGCGGATCAACGACGGGGACTTCGACGTTCAAATGCTCGACGTGAGTGATTTCGAGACGGAGTCATTATCACCCGAGCTTAGCAAAATGCTCGGAGGTTGTCCAGCGGTGAAAGACAGCTCCAAGCGAGTCACCTTGGCAAAGATGTGTATAGGACTCGCGCAGCTCTGCCTTTGCATTAGCAAGGTCCTCGCAGTCCAATATTCCACCCTGGGTCACAAGATTGGCGCCACTCAAGAGACCACGATGAGATTGGTCCCGAAGAAATCCGCGGCGGAGCCCGCTGATGTGATACAGTGCGACCGTGAATTCGATCAGTGGCATCAGAGCCTGGACCCCGGCATTCCTTACTTTGCGCCAGATTCTCGCGAACGAGTTGCGACAAACGATGGAGAAGTTGTCCACTTGCACCGTGCTCTGTTGAACGGGGTGTACCTGACAGCGATCAGCGCGCTGCATCGACCACAAATTCTGCCATCGGCTCCCAACGTCGTGGTCGTGCCAGAGTTGAGAGAGCTATCGAAGAGGAAGGTCCGGGAGGCGGCGGACGACATCACCGAAATGTATAAAGAACTTTTCGCCCTGGACATGATCCGTTACCTACCAAACACTGGTGTCACCTGCCTCCTTCCAGCCATCATCATCCATCTTCTGGACATCAAATCAACGGACAACAACATCCGTCAAGCCAGCACCCGGAAATTCCACTTTTGCATGCAAGCGTTGCAGAGGCTGCGGGAGATGTACGCGTCCGCAGACTTTGCCTTCTCTTTTTTGGATGCGGCGGTTCGCAAGACGAACGCTCAGGTCTCAGCTGCCGCTGCGGCCACCCCGACAATGAAAGAGTCGCTCAGTCACCCTCCCGTTGAACAAAAGCTTGGCCAAGCTCCGCTGCTGCTGACACCACCACCTGAAGCCATGCAGACGGCTAGCTTGTTGCTTATGAACTCAACTCTGGCGCCCGAAGAGCGGAGTCTGATTGCCGCATATACTCCGAGGACGCCTGCTGGGTCGGATGTAAGTTTGAGCTCTCATACAACGGCCGGAGCAGCGTCTGCATTGACCGACTTGCCCGAGGAACACAGCACAGAGATCAAGGATGAGCTGGAGCAGACGGACGAAGCTGATTTCGACACTCTCATGGACCTGGAAAGCGGGACGGATCTGTTCGCCATGGCTGAAGACGACATGGACCTGAGCATGCAGTGGCTGCAGGGGTTTGACGCCGACAAGCTCTCACCGGGCACGGGCGAGTTTCCGCTGCAGACAATCGAAGAGGTCGAGGAGCCAGGCTATGCGCAGCGGGCCCTTGACCTCAGTGACGAACTCGGTATCGGCCTGAGCATGTAGATAGATCTGTGCTTGAGAAATAAGATACACATTCCGCCTCTACCCGATTCTGTTGGTTCTTTGACAGCTCGTGCTCGTAGGTGGCGTCGATGGGGAGCTGAGCGCACGCGCGCAGACACCGGTGGCTTGCAGATCCGCCTGCTTTGGCTAACGTGGTGAATACGAGGAGTATCTTTTCTTTCAACCTCACCTCTCTTTTTCTTTCGCGTTCTCGTCGCCTCTCTTCGTTGCCCTCAATCGAACGAGTGGTCAATGTTGCGTTCTCACCCTTCCATCATAGCTTGAGGAAGTGCTGACTTGTTCCAACCTGCATATTCTACGCCATCCATCTGCCGAGGTTGCGCGCTGTGAAATTCAGGCGTGCGCTAGCCTAGAAAGAGAAGCTCAGTTCACAATTACACAAGGCACCAAGCTGACCCATGAGCAGCTGTCTGCTCTTTAACCCCGCCTGGATCTCTGCCCTTCGCTCAGTACCCGGTTAGCTTCGATTTCGCCGCCGGGTGATCAGGGTATCCTGGGACAATCCCTCCCTGCAATGTCACCTTATGGGCCACCAGAAGTGGCATTGGCGATAAGAAGCCGCCATTCGTGGTGGCTGGGGTTTCCCCTCGGACCCTACCGTGAGCCAGTGGGGATCACGGTCAACTGGCGACACAAGTCGCTGATCATACGACGCAGGAGGTGTCCGCAGGCACGGGGCCAGCTCCTAAAGCCCAGCCATGCCGCCTGTCTCCCGACGACCATCCCACCGAATGCGGAGCCAGGCGTCAGAGAAGCCTCAGAAAGCAATACCACCAGACGCTTGTCACATAATGCTTGTTAGGCCCAAGACACCACCAAGCTCCGCCCACTCGGGCAGTCGCACGACTTCGGCATTGTCTAGTCTGGGGCGCCAATCAACCAGCATCTGTCGAGCGGAGCTAATTTATCTGAGAAATATCATATGCGATGGGCGGAGGGTGGACCTAGCCAAGAGCCGATTGGCGGTGAGGGTTTCGAGCTCTCGTGGTGCAGACCCGGTGCATTCTGTACACGAAACATGACTGGCTCTTCCAAGCGGTTCCTGGCAAGTTGACGAGGCACAGCTCCAGCATCTGAAAGTTCCCTGATCCGTTACAATGCCCCGAGAGGCACGATCTTATCTCTGGCTTGCATATGCAGTTTGCCTCCTCCCCGTACTGTGTACCCCAGGCGTTTCGCCGTACCACCTCATGCCTACCTGCCACATGGGGAATGGGAAACGGCAAGGCAAGTGAAGGCTATCACCTCCTAAGCCTACAAAGGTAATGCCGAGAGCTCAAGCTCCACGAAGCTCCTCTAGACGAACTCCTCCCTGAAGGTTGGCTATAGCTCGTATCCCTGCTCCAATGCTACTTCCTGTCGTGGCGGACGTCATGAAATGTCGATATGCCTCAGACAACTTCTTCCCCCGACAAATGGTTTGCCCAATGTAACAGGGATCCCGATCACATCTCGGTCAATCTGTGGAGCTCAGTGATGTTCAAGCTAGTCCGAGTGCTCGGTTGATTGTCTAGCGGCCATGGTTGTGCAGAAGTGCTGCCGGTGTTTGCAGCTGGGGGTCAAGGTAAGCAGGTACACCTTCAAGTACTTAAACCTGTGCGCGTGCTCGAATCCCACCTTCTCTGCCCTTTCGAGCTCACCTGTCCGCTTTGGAGCTGTGATTACTTCCCAGTACTTACAGTGCATTCGTTGGAATTTGGGGCCAGGACCAGCTACCTGGCACAGGTCCAGCTCTTGCACTTGCGGCTTCCTCTTCCCCAGCCTCTGAGTTGAATAGCTCTCAAAATGCATGCTGCAAAAGCCCTCTCCCTCATCGGTGCACTCGTTGCTGGCGTCTCTGCAGTCAAGGGACCTGTCGTTCATAGCAGAAGAAACCCAAAAGGCCCCAAGCTTCAAGTCTTGCCCCGGCAATTACCAGCGGATCCCACGGGCGTACAGACCATTACCACTTCCAATGGCATCAGTATCACTTACAAAGAGCCAGGCAAAGAGGTGAGAACTCTTGGAGAGCTCGAGCGTTACTATGCCAGTCTCCAATCCCTCCTCTGTTCATGCCTTCTTGCTTTGCTGACGGTTCGAAAAGGGTGTTTGCGAGACGACTCCAGGCGTCAACTCCTACGCGGGTTTCGTCAACCTTGCGCCGGACGTCCACAGCTTCTTCTGGTTCTTTGAGTCAAGACATGATCCGGCCAACGACCCGATAACGCTCTGGCTTAATGGAGGACCTGGCAGTGACTCCTTGATCGGCATGTTCCAAGGTAAGCACGGACTCAGGATGGTTCAGGCTACTTCGATTCAGGGCTAACAATGTTGTGTAGAGCTTGGCCCCTGCAATGTCACCGAAGACCTCATCACTCAACTGAACCCTTACGCTTGGAATGAGGCCTCAAACATGATCTTTCTCAGCCAGCCGCTAGGTGTCGGTTTTTCATACGGCTCGAAGGTGAGGAGCGAGGCGAGATAGTTATAAGAGTGGGAAGCTGACATACCGACTCAGGGTCCTGGCTCGCTTGATCCCGACTTTGGTGAATTCCTTAGCGCCTCAGAGGCAAACGTGACTGGGAGATACCCCATCATTAATGCGACTGCGATTGGTGAGTCGGGTCTTTACTGCGATGGCAACAGTACAGATACTAATGGAGCCCCCAGACACCACTGATCTTGCTGCCATCGCTGCCTGGGAGGTCCTCCAAGGGTTCTATGCGTCGCTCCCACAGCTCGATTCTAAGGTCCAGTCGACCCAGTTCAACCTGTGGACTGAGTCGTATGGAGGTGAGCTCACCCTCGGTGGATCATCGACGCACAAACCACTAACCGTTGTCCAAGGTCACTATGGCCCCGCCTTCTTCAACTACTTCTACCAGCAAAACCAAGCAATTCTGAACGGCACCCAGTCCGGCAAGGCGTTCGAATTCACCAACCTGGGCATCATCAACGGCATTGTGGACGAATACATCCAAGCCCCCTACTATCCGCTTTTCGCCAACAACAACACTTATGGCATCAAAGCCGTCAACGACACCGTTTTTGAGTACATGAACTTTGCTTGCCACATGGCCAACGGTTGCTTGGACCAGATCTCTTTTTGTGCAGCTGCCGATACCACAAAGCTGGTTGGACAGGCGCTCTGCGCCGAAGCCGCGGACATGTGCCGTGATAACGTGGAAGGTCCCTACTATTATTACGGTGACCGCGGCGTTTACGACATCCGACACCCCTTCCAGGACCCAACCCCGCCAGATTACTTTGTCGATTTTCTCAATCTGCCGTCGACGCAACAAGCCCTCGGCGTGGACACGAACTATACCAGCAGCAACAACGACGTCTATTACGCCTTTCAGCAGACAGGTGACTTTGTGTATCTCAACTTCCTCTCCGACCTGGAACAGATCCTCAACTCGTCCGTTCGCGTCACACTGGTGTACGGAGACGCTGACTACATCTGCAACTGGTTTGGCGGAGAAGCCGTCTCCCTCGCCACGCAATACGAGCACTCTGCAGAATTCCAAAAGGCCGGCTATGTGCCCTTTGTGGTCGATGGCGTCGAGTACGGTGAAACCCGCGAGTACGGTAACTTTTCCTTCACCCGCATCTACGAGGCTGGGCATGAGGTCCCCTACTACCAGCCCATCGCGTCGTTGGGCTTCTTCACCCGCGCCATCAACGGCTTGGACATCGCCACGGGAACCATGCCTGTGAATGGACGTCAAGGCGGCACATCGGGTTCGCCGTCCGCGACGCACACCGAGCCATTCGTGCCGCTCCCGACGACCAGTTCGAGCTCAGCAGCAAGTGCGACGGGCTCGTCTGCGCCCGCGAAACATCCCATCATTCCAAAAGGGCGATTCGCCAGACGGGCGTACTGATTTCTTGGATGATAATGTGACGACGATAGGACGGACGTACTGATTTCTTGGATGATAATGTGACGACGATAGGACGGACAGAGGACACTTCACCTAGTAGTACGTAGGAGTAGTAGGCCTTGCTCCAATTTAATGACTCGGATTTAATTGATACCAAAACACTCCTGTTGATGAGGATGAGTACAGGGTTTGTCAATTGCAGTAGACCACGGAGTGAGGTACAGTACGTATGTACGATGTATTCAGTGGGTGTGCGGACTGACTTCCTTCCGCCAATCAAAATGTCCTAAATGCGTGCAGATCACTAACAAGAGACTCGTCCTGTGACTCTTTCGGAGGACACGATAAATTCGGAGGGTTCTGAGGAGAAAGCTGACACTATACCAGGTACTTGATTACCTACAGAGGCCTACGTAAACAACACGGTTAGGTATCTTACAAAGGGAATTATGGTCCATGACACCCCACCCCTTGGCGATGTCTGGCCAAACCCTCGTGCTGCCCTGCCCTGCCCTGCCGTGAGTGCCGAGTCGTGCCGTGCCACCACCAGCGATCCGATCGAAGGGGCGAGAAGAATTAGACATTGGGCAGGCGGTGGACAGTTGCCACCACCCAGCGATGAGATCAAAGGGCGAGAAGCGTTAGATATTGCGCAGACCCGTCAGCCACCGAGATGTGTTTATCTCTTACATGCGTATCAAAATGGTATGGTATGGTGCTATGTGGTCATGGCATAAAATACATTGATGATGGAAGCGAGGTTGAAGCTCACCTAGGCTCAAGGCTCGAACACCCTGGGTCCGTCCCGTACGGCGTACTCCGTAATGTACGAGTGATCACTTCTCGTACGCGCAGTGATTAGCGCAGAGAGAGAGGGGGGGTGGGTTGGCTCGATGGACGTGGCGTGCTAATTAATTACCTCGTTAGGTAGGTAGGTAGGTAGGTAGGTAGGTAGGTAGGTAGGTAGGTAGGTAGGTAGGTAGCGGAGACTCTGAATGGCGGACGGGGTACAAGCTTGAAGCTCGAAGCTTGATATCCTGAACGCTGTGCTCGCCTGTGAAGGGTCGAGGTCGAGGAGTTCGGCTGATGCTGTTGCTGTTGCTTTTGAGGTCGCAGTCGAAGTTGATGAGATATGAGAGCTGGAAAGGCTACAGAGGTAATGCGAGTAGGGCAGTTCAGTTGTTCCCGAGGTCTACTATGTACGTATGCATGTATCTAGTATTCTACTCTCGAACCGCGGAGATTGTAACTATTCTAGCGGCTTTAGTCTCTTCAAGATCCTGGAGATGACATCTGTCTGTTCTGTCTGGTCTGGCCTGGTCTATTCTGTTCTGTTGTCCCACCTCAGTCCAACCAGTAATTGTCTATAGGCGTGCTTCCATGTATGTAGTGATCCGCCGAGTCCTCATGCCCTCAAATCACCCTTTCAAGAGCACACAACGTACCGTTCTAAGCCGCCCTCTCAAGCGCACACAAAACGTACTGTTCTAAGCCACCCCTTCAAAAGCACACAACGTACCCTTCTAAGCCACCCTCTCAAGCGCACACAAAACGTACTTCTCTCCAAACAGTTCCACCACATCCCCCTCCATGGCACTTTGTGTCCACGCTGGTTCTTTCCCACTTCCTTCTCCTCTCCCTTTCGCCTCCCATCCAACCAGGCCAGGCAGAGCGGGCAGATTGTTCGACTCCCCCGCCTCAAGCACGACTGTCCAGCGCTTTTGCTCGCCGTCCCATGTCTCCCTGCGGGCGCAGAACCCGGCCTCTCCAACAGGACCGTCAGGCCCGCCTCTCAGGGCGAGAAAGTCCCCTCCGACCTGCGCGAGAAACGTCCGTTTATCCATGCTGCGCACGATCCACGCCCAGGGGAAGCGGTCGCTATGTGAGGCACGCAGGGCGCGCCACACCTCCTCGTAGGGCGTCTCGACGTTGGTTTCGGGGTTGAGCATGCTTCCTGTTTCGACGGTGTCGGTGGCGGGGTCGGCATTAGCAACAGATGGATCGACGGGGTGGAAACTTCCAATGTCGGGCTCCGTGTAGCCTCGCGAATCGATCCAGTGGGTCCATTTGCATGTTACTGTTGATTGCAAAGTAGGCGTCAGCGGTGGGAGGGAGGTGGACTGGGGGTGTATGGCATCGCAACGCAAATCATTTCGTTTCAGATCTGTCCACCGATCCTTTCGCCTCTTTCTTCGCAACACCATCATACACACAGTGTAATCAGAAGAGCACGCGCATATTCACGCACCCTCGCACCTCACACACGCGCACTTACACGGTTCTCTTGACAGGATGAGCCTCTCTCCCGCCATCCCCCATTCGATCGAGCCGTCGGCCTTGGTGATGCGCAGGTCGACGTACCATCCTCCGACGCTCATGACCAGCGTGTTGGTCGGCTCCGACGGCTCGCCTGGAACCCAGCGGATACTCAGTCGCGTGGAAAGTCGGCTGGACATGATGCTGGTCGTGTGAGTGGAGGGAATACAGGTGCGCTAGACACTGATACTGTAGAAGCTTTGGGCTGGTACGGAGTGTTAAGGATGCAGGGTCAGGAGAGCCAGGAGAGCCAGTGGTGGTTCATATTGATCGTGGAAGAAGAAAATCTTTCCACGTGGCGGGCGGAAATGTGCGTCGCCCGAGTGGAAGAGGGGGGATTGCTTTGGATGGAGCATTACGTTCGCGTATACATACAGGTGGGCATGTATAGGCTCAAATTTTCACGTTTGGGTTTGGTGTCTGGTGGAGAGAGTACTTGGGTGGTACTAAGAGGGCGGGTTGATTAGTCATGGCATGGCGGGGACCCTTAACACCCGCCTAACACCCGACCGCAAATTGTGTACTGTGTATATATGTACCCGTCCGGGCACTCGTACTGGTTCTTCTCGCTCGGCCTTTGGGGACGGTGTAGTTATAGTGGGGATCATATCAGATCTTAACTATGATATGCCCTACAATAAGGTTCTTTCATCGACGTCTCATCGGCACCAAGCGTCCTTCGGCAAGATCTCCAACACCGCACTGTACTCTATTGTTTGTTCTTTCTCATTTCGGCTCCACCAAAGTATTATGGACGACCTGGATTTGGCGCACCTTTTCGAGGCTGCGGAAAGAGAGCACTTTACGCATTCGAAGACATGGATTCCTCTCCGCCAATCAACTCCTTTAGATTGCGGGCGACAAAGCCTTAGGGGCCATGCTCTCGCCTGCTGTGGCCAGTACTCCAGATACTTGGTATACGCTCCGTATCTGCCGAGGGTACAAGGACGAGAACTTGGACGTCCCTCGCTCACTGATCTCGCCAGTTGACTGTAGGTACTCATGTCCACAAGAGGACGGATGTCGCTGGTCAGTTGACGGCTGATACGGGGGAAGCACTTCTAGAAAGATGATCCAGAGGTCATGGATGTATCAGGCCGAAGACTGCAGTCCATTCCAAGAACTGTCAGCATTCTCGCCATGGCTTGAACAATGGCTCAATTTCGGCAGATGACATTGGCCCGGATTGTGACTTGTGCGTAAAGGGGAAAATTACTCGTAACCCAGGCGGCAAGGACGCGCTGTATCCTGCTGGTGTCCCTGCCTCCTATTATGCCTTGCGTTACGTCATTTGTAAAAGCTCACCGCATGGACGCAGTGAACAAAGTATGAACTTTCTCCCCGTCCAACCAGGGTGTTAGAAGTCTTTCAGTGTCTGTCCCAATGCGAGCAGCGAGGCTGGGACAGCAGTTCCTCGACGATGTACCTGCATATTATCAAGAATAGAAACCGGGCGATATTGCTCTCACCTCTCCACGAATGAGTGATTATAGTAGAACTGGTAAATGGCAGCGGCGGGTGTTCCTGCTTTCTTGCAGACACGCCTTCCCTATCTCGAATGCGACTTTCTGCATTGATCTTACGGAGTCGCTGTTTGAGGCCGCATGCCTTCTTCTTCCAGCGGTCGATACCTGAGACCACGGGCAGCCACACAAAATGGGTGCATAACACTGACATCGATGATAGATTCTGACATGGTTACCCCCCGGAGCAGTCACTGCTACTTTGTTGGTTGATGATGTCAAGCCTGCATGTGGCCGCTGTAAAAGTTGGCGGCAACCTGGAGTTCGGCAGCGGTGGCGTGGCACTCACGTTTGCCCAGTGGAGGCCAAGTGGCGCCCACCGTGTCGATCGGGGGCCCAACATGTGCTGCTGATCGCTAACGGCCAGCCTAGAGAACCCACTGCTTCTCGCCTATCGGCAGGCCACCGCGCGTCTTGTTGTGCCACACCCACGTTTGCTGGTGCCCAGCCTGTGAGCAGAGCTCCTGTGGCGCTCAACTCTCTGTGATGAGTGTGCTGCTAGGCAAGTCGCGGATCGACAATTCCGAGCCCATTCTGACCTGACACGGATTTCAGTTTACCCAGTACAACTCAGTCCCTCTACCCGGCCGACACCAACGTAACCTGCACCTCGTTCCCTGACATCGCACCAGAAGCCTCGAAGCATGGACTTGCGCGGAAACTATGAAATTGACGTCTACCACGCTGCTACCCGAACCAAGAGAAGGATGAAATTACGCATCTGAGAATCACGATGACGACTCAGGACAGCAGTTTTGATTGAAAGGACCCCGCAAACGTAGAGTTAGACCTCCAAAAACCTGTTCTTGGGCCTGACCTGCGGCGGTGCGTCGAGGGTCAAGCCTCACGAGCACCCACCACAAGATACCCACCCTCGAGACTGTTACGCCACTAACGGACCGAAAGTCTCGCTTCGCACTTTGTGGCGACGTGCACATCAGTCCTCCACTAATCCGATTCTCCCGAGCACTGGAAAAGCACGGAGTCTTCAGACGCTGCCCACGGTGGCCCCTGCGAAATCTGTCACTTCTTTTCGAAGTCGCACCGGGCGAAAGGTCGGTGTAGCTGACAGCCTGAGCCGTCGGATAAGACTGTCAGCATATCCGCCTGAAAGGTGGCCAGCCTTCAATCCCGTGATGGACGAGGCATTGACATCAGCACATCCATTGGTCGTCCCACCGCTACCTAAGCCCGGGGCCCCCGGTCAACTCGAGTTTCAGGCATGGCATTTCCCTGTCAAGAAACCTTCTTTTTCCTCATGCTATTCGGACGATTGCCCATCACTGCTCGATCACCAATCCGTGGTGTCCTCAGAACCCTGCATGTCCTACCACCTCCTCATCGCGGCTTCCTCTCATTCGATGCAGCGACTTTTCGATCATCTCCGGACTCCGCAATGTGAGAACTACTAGCGCCGTCTGCCTCAGTGGCTGAAACGGACTGGTTCAGACAATGTCATTGCGTCAGAGCGGTTGATGGCAGCTCCCTGAGGAAGGAGTGTGGCACAGACGAAGAGCTCTCAGGAGCTCTCTCCATACCAAGGCAATGTTGGGCGATGACGTCGAAAGCTTCCCGTTGTACGTGTACGGGGTACTTGACGAGATGCTTCTCCTCCTCCAGCACGACTCTCTTTTCTGGTCCCTCCATGTCCATCCAAACAATAATTTGTACCCATATTGTATAACAGTTTATCCCAAACCGTAACGAATACCTCGCGCGCCGAGCTGAACCTGACAGCAAGCGCGACCAACCCATGAAAGCCGACTTTTGAATGACCAACAACCAGAACCGACTATCATCGGCTTCATACGCTTATTATTCCTTTCCACCTACTCCGAGTCGGGACTCTCGTTCGTCGAAGCAGTCGACTCCAGAAACTGTCCGAAGCTACAGAAGCAAGATGCCGTCTCCAGCAGCAGGTAGAGCCACCAACGCTCCCGAAACTCCCACAAAGACCGGCAAGAGCCCCGCTTCCTCGTCTACATCCAAGCTGACTGGTGAAGGAGGTACTCCTGGTCGCAAACCCCCCAAGCTGGGTTCCTCGAAAGCGACGCCCAAGAAGCTTGAGACACCTTCTCGCCCTAAGCAGGAAGATACACCCAAGCCCACGGAAGAGAAGCGTGAAGACGAGAAGCCTGAGGAGACCGAGGAAGAGGACCAAGGTCAAATCAGCTTGAAGGATACCGAGGAGCCGGGCGGCAAAATCAGCCAACCAGGCGACGACACGGGCGCCAGCGAGCTCTCCGAAGCCAATCCGGAGCCGGTTCCCGATAGCGACGAGGAAGAAGACGACGGCGAGACAGCCCGTGGAGGCAAGGAGGCCGCCAAGGACGAGGGCACCGAGGGCGAGGAGGAAGAAGAGACAGAAGCCCCTACCGAAGGAGGCACCACCGATGCCGCTGAAGAAGCCGAAGACGAGGCGGAAGATGGAGGCAAAGGTGCTCTCGGCGGCCTCGGAAAGGCCGCAAAAGGTGTGACTGGCGCCGGTAAGAAGGTCGCCGGCCGAGTGAGTGGCGCTAAAGACACCGCGACCAACGGTGCTGGCAAGGCTACGAAAGGTGACGTGCAAGGCGCCGCTGAGGATACAGCCGGCGACACCAAAGAAGCGGCTGAAGACACGGCTGGCGATGTCCAGGACACTGCAGAAGATACTGCAGAAGGTGCAAAGGATACCGCCGAAGGTGCAGCTGACGATGTACCCAAAGATACCGATGATGTCAAGGAGACTGCCAACGGTGCCAAGGACCAAACCGAGAAGGTGGCTGGTGATGTCGAGGATACTGCAGAAGACGCCGCAGAAGATGCAACCAAGGATCTTCCCGTCGACCTCGCAGCATTGAAGGGTCTCAAGGTCGGCGACACTGGAGACATCAAAGATGAATCCGGCCGAGTCATTGGCAAACTTGAGGAAGGTGACCCGGCAGACCTCGAAGGCTATGAGATTGGCGACGATGGGGAGATCCTCGACGAGGATGGCGACGTGGTGGGTCGTGCCAATGTCATTGCCGAGAAGGCGAAAGATGCTGCCGGCGATGCCACCGAGGATGCAGATGCTGAGGGTGCAGTCAATGGAGTCAAGGAGACTGCCGAAGAGTAAGTCCACCCACGGCCTGAACCGGATCGCATGCCCTGTGATTACATGTCTCCTATGTCCGAGATTGTTTGGAGTCGTCGTGTCGTCGTTCAAGCACTGACCATCAAATAGGACAGCCGAAGGAGCCCAGGACCAAGCTGAGCAGGAAGTTGATGGTGTCAAGGAAGATGCCGAAGATGCAGCAGAGGATGTCCAAGACCAAGCAGAAGATGCCGTCGAGACCTATCTTCCTGACATCAGCGTCCTCGATGGTCTGGAGGTGCAAGAAAACGGCGACATTCTCGACAAAGAAGGAAACGTTCTTGGCAAGATCACTGAAGGTGACCCAGCAGACTTGGTTGGCATGACTCTGAATGCCGAGGGCGAGATCCTGGATGAGGATGGAGATGCTGTTGGACGTGCCGAGGTTGTTCCTCAGCCAGTTAAGCAAGCCGCTGAAGAGGCCGCCGGAGATCTGCCTGGCCTGGATGCTCTTGAAGGCCTCGAGGTACAGGAAGATGGTGCCATCAAGGACAAAGAGGGCAACACTTTGGGCAAGATCACCGAAGGAGACCCCGCTGACCTCGTTGGCCGAACTGTCAACGCTGAGGGCGAGGTGCTCGACGAGGATGGCGATGTCATCGGTCGTGCAGAGGTCGAACCCGAGGCCGCTGAGGCTATGAAAGACAAGGCCGAAGGAGGAGTCGAGGACGCCAAACCAGAAGCCGTCCAGCAAGCGCTCGACAAGGTGGACGAAGTTGCAGAGCAGTTGAAGCCCAACCTCACAATCGTCGAGGGCCGCAAGCTCAACAAGAAGGGCAAGATCCTTGACGATGAGGGAGAAGTGCTTGCTGAGCTTGTCGAAGGTGATTTGAAAGAATGCCAGGGCAAGATCCCTAACGAGAACGGCGAGATTGTCGACAAAGATGGAAACGTCATCGGACGTGTCCAGGTCGTCGAAGGGGAAGCTGCCGATGAAGCTATGAAAGAACTCCACCCAGACTTGGTGGAGGAGCTCGAAGACGCCCAGAAAGCCGCGGACGAGGCCGAGAAGCAAGCTCAAGAAGCTGGCGATCAGGCTGACGCGGCTGGCGAGGCGAAAGAAGCAGCAGAAGATGCCCAGGAAGGGGCTGAAGGTGCTGCTGACGAGGCTAAGGATGCCGCTGACAAGGCAGCCAAGCCTGATTTTGCTCAACTCGAAGGTCTCAAAGTCAACAAGAAGGGTGAGGTGGTCAATGAAGACGGTGATGCCATTGCCAAACTGTCTGAAGGCTTTGATGTTGAGGCCGTCCGCGGCAAGAAGATCAACGAGAACGGAGAAATCCTTGACAAAGATGGAAATGTCATTGGCAAGGTCGAATTCATCCCTGCAGCTATTGAGGAAGGCCTCGTTGAGACCATTGACGAGGCTGCTCCCGACGGTCTGGACACTTCCGTCCTTGATGGCCTGAAGGTGAACAAAAAGGGTCTTGTACTCAATGAGGATGGCGAAGAAATTGCCAAGCTCGTTGAAGGTGACCTGGCCGCTGTCGCAGGTAAGAAACTGAATGACAAAGGAGAGGTCCTGGACAAGGACGGAAATGTCATTGGTAAAGTTGAGCTCACCACTCAAGAACAACCGGAAGAGGAGCAAGCCGACGAGGAAGCCGGCGAAGAAGTCGACGATGGTCTTCCTCCTCTATCCATTCTCGAAGGTCTCAAGGTCAACAAGTCGGGCAAGATCGTCGACAGCAATGGAAACATCGTCGGTGAACTGGTGGAAGGTGACGCCAAGAAACTCTGGAAAGCTGGTACCGTCTGCGACGCTGAAGGTCAGTTCTGGGACAACAAGGGCCACGTCATCGGCCGGGCGAAGACTCTCCCTCAGGAAGATGCTGAAGGAGAAGCCGAGTTCGCTGGTCTGGAAGGTCTCACTGTTGTGGCCGACGGATGGGTGGAAGATGAGAATGGTAACAGAGTCGGTCGCATTGTAGAAGGCGACGCAAAGAAACTTGTTGGCCGGGCTGTGGACGAAGACGGCGATGTCATCGACAAGCGAGGTAACGTTGTCGGCCATGCCGAGCGATACGAGGAGCCGGAAGCAGAGCCCGAACCGGCACCCGAGCACATCGACCTTTCGGAGTTGAAGGGTCTCTCACCCAACAAGCAAGGCAACGTCATTGGACCTGACGGGGTTCCCATCGGTCGCCTGGTCGAGGGCAACCCCAAGGAACTTGCCGGCCGGAAGATCGACGGAGAAGGTCAGATCTGGAATGACCGAGGGGAAGTCGTTGGCCGCGTCGATCTTATTCCCGCAAGCGAGCGCGAAGCCAAACCCGAAGGTCCCTTCGCTGGTCTCGAGGGTCTCGTTGTCGTGAAAGAAGGTTTCGTTGAAGACCACGAAGGCAACGTCGTGGGCAAAGTCGTCGAAGGAGACTGGAAGAAGCTTATCGGCCGCGCCGTCGACGAGGACGGTGATATCATCGACAAGTACGGAAACGTCAAGGGTCACGTCGAGCCGTACGAGGTGCCTGAGGAGGAGGTCGTTGAAGAAGACCTCTCGAGCCTTGCTGGCAAGACAGTCAACAAGTCCGGCAAGATCGTCGACGAACATGGCACCATCTTTGGAGAGGTCGCCGAAGGAGATGTGAAGCGTCTGGTCGGATGCAAGGTCGACGGGCAAGGCCAAATCTGGTCCAACGACGGCAAGGTCATTGGTCGCGGCAGACTGATTGTCGGAGGTGACGACGGTCGTTCCGAAGGCCCCTTCTCGAACTTCGAGTCTACTAGCATTGACAAGGAGGGCTATGTCCGAGACTCAGCTGGGGAGATCATCGGCCGTGTCACCGAGGGGGATGTCAAGAAGCTCGTCGGACGCAAGGTGGATGACGATGGAGACATCACAGACAAGAACGGGAATGTCATCGGTCATGCCGAGCGCTGGGAACCTGAAAAGAAAGAGCGCGAAGTGTCGCCAATGGCTGGTCTGCGCGTGAACAAGGAAGGCGAAGTCCGCGACAAGAACGGCGACGTCATTGGCAGGCTCACCGAAGGTAACTTGCTGGCTTGCATCGGCAAAGAGGTCAACGATAATGGATATGTCGTCGATCAAGACGGCAACAAGATCGGTGAATGCACGCTTCTGGAGAACATTCCCGAGGAAGAGGTTGAAGAAGGACCTACGCCTGAACAGATGAAGGAAGAAGAGGAGCGGGAGATTGCCAAGAAGATCTCCAGCATCATCAACCAGACGCTGGAGAAGATGGAACCTATCTGCAAGCAGATTACAGAGGTAAGTGCCTGTCTGCAAATGGTTGTTTGGCTGTCATCGACCGTGTTGCTGACTTTGACGTTCAGATCATCGAACGCGCCGACCGTACCCCCAAGGACGAACTTGATGAAGAGAAACTGGTCCAAGATGTGAAACCCCTGATCGAGGAAGGCGGTCGCATTCTCGGCGAATGTAACGGAGCTATTCGCGGTCTCGATCCCGACGGCCACATCGCCGCCAACGCGAAAGCTAAGGCCGCATCTGGAGAGGCTACGCCAGAAGAGCACCGCGTCGCCGAAGGTCTCAAGGAGTTGACCACGCAGGTGGTCAAGACAGTTGACAACGCGAAGAAACGCATCGCCGACATGCCACACGCGAAGAAGAAGTTGAATCCTCTTTGGGGATTGTTGACGGAGCCGCTGTTCCAGATCATCGCAGCCGTGGGCCTGCTTCTATCAGGTGTGTTGGGCTTGGTTGGCAAGCTGCTCAACGCCCTCGGCCTTGGCGGATTGGTCAATGGCATCCTCGGCGGCTTAGGTGTCGACAAGCTGCTCGGGGGATTGGGACTCGGCAGTGTTGCCGAAAGTCTTGGGCTCGGGGGTGGTAAGAAGAAATAAGTCAACACGTGGAAGTGACGTGAGGGTGATGGATGTGCTTGGAATGGACGATGATGCTGAACTGTTCCTCTCAGCTCTGCAGCGATATCTCTCTGAGGAGACAAGAAGAGAAGAGTCTGGCGAGGAGAAAAAGATGAAGTTGCCGTTGCGTCTGGCCCCGATGTTCAAATCAGGGCCCTTGACTGATCAGGATGGACACCTCGTACGTCAACGGGCTGGATTTGGACAACCGGGCGAGACGCATACGCAGATGCAGTGGGACGATCCGAAGGAAGGTTATGGATGGGCATGGGAATGGACCTGGGCTTGTCACGAATGTGTAAATTATCTGTTCTTGTCTCTATTTGCGGTCATGGTCTTTGGATTCCCAGCTTTTATTGTTGCGTGTTGGTGGGCTGGCTAAGTAAGTCATCTATCGAGGTGGACTATGCGTGCCTGCGGATGTACTGTAACATAGCAAACCACTCTTGATGAGACTAACTGATTGCTAAAAAATGGACTTGTGTGTGTTTTCAGCTGCAAGGAATCCGTCTCATCATGTCCCCATCACCCTCGCCTGCACATGGTTGTGGATTGTAATTCCTGGAGAGGAAGATATATACTGCAACGTCGACGATGACGACCACAAATCTCCAGTCGTGCTCCGTACTTGGTGCAAAAAGGGCGCCGTCTCTCGGGGCCAGCCAGCTTTGATGGATTCTTTCTTTCCTCCATTCAACTGAACTCGTAGTTCTCACCTAGGTACGGAGGATACCTTGCATACTCCGTACATACTCTCTCTAGAGCCGTGTACGTACAGTAAGTAGTCAATAGTGGATGAGGGAGTGAGTGGATGAGTCGCCGTTAGAGGATGCTGATGCTGATGCTGATGCTGATGCTGATGCTGATGCTAGTGGCGAAGCAAGCAATGCAATGCAATGCAATGCCATTCTACCTACCTACCTACCTACCTACCTACCTACCTACCTACCTACCTACCTACCTACCTACCTACCTACCTACCTACCTACCTACCT